GGGCTGGAGATGAAGCTTCACAGAGACCTGGGTTCAAGCCCCAGCTGTGCCCTTTCCTGGCAGTGTGACCCTGGGAGTTGTGCATAAACCCTCTGAGACTTGATTAAACATCTTGTATTTCTTTTGATGCTGGGGATGGAACCCAGGGCCTCACACGTGCTGTATCGCTGAGCTGCCCCAGATGTATGTACCTTTAAAATGAGGATAATCATTAGTACTCTTGTGAGGACTGAATAAAGCCCTTGGCACGTAGTAGATGCTCAGTAAGCCTCCTCTCACTCTAAGCTGGAGAGGTAACAAAAGCATTTGTTCTAAATGGCCTTTGCTTTCTGCTGTGGACAAGGTATCCATTAGGATGAGGCCCTTGGTCTGCCTCCCGCCGCCTCTGTATAACCATGTGTGGGTTATCTTTTAAGATCTGTGCCTCAGTTTCCCCACCTGTAAAGTGGAATCATTTGGAAATAACCTCATTAGAACTGTGCTTACACACTGTCCCTGGCACAAAGTGAGTGCTCAGAAATAATGAGTGCTGAGCACTGCCATCATAAAACCCCCACTGTGTGCAAGCCCTTCCTGCTGTTTCACACAGTACATCTCATGTAATATCCCTGCCGCTCTTCACAGAGGAGCCCCTGAGGTGCCAGCAGGGCATGACCGGCTACACTCATGCAGGACTGGAGTGGCTGCGCTGGGGTGCTGGGGCCGGTCTGGGTGGCTCCAGAGTGGCACCACCCCCTCCTCTGCACTTCCTGAGGCAGAGCCTAGAAAAGCCTGCTGGTCGTGCTGAGCCAGGGGGCCGCGCTGAACCAGGGGACCTTGCTGCTCCAGCCCACCCCTGTGGGGGAGAAAGAGTTGAGCTAGATTCTGGATCTTCCTCCCCCAGGGCTGTGGCCCCTGCCTGCCCACACTCTGGTCCGTCCCAGGTGGTTTCCTCCCCTTGGGGTGGACAGCAGCCTCTTTCTGATGCATGGAGAGAGTCTCACAGCCACCTTCTGTGCTGGGCATCTGTCCCCAGCTCTAGTCACCAGCCTTTTTAATTTCCTCCCTGGTCTCGGGCTGCCTGCGGTTATTAACTTCCTCTGAGATCCTGATAGCTAGGCTTTGGAGGTGGGAGGTCCTCACCTGCACACGCCCGTGGTGCTGGCTCCCCACCTCCATTTGTCACCCTGCCCTGGATCCATGCCCAGGTGAGAGGCTTGGGGCCAGACAGCCCTGGGCTCCTCCCTACCATGTGACCCAGGGGAGGGCTTAACCACTCTGAGTTCCAAGATCCACAGCTGGAAGCAGACGGTCTTCTCCACTCTGCACGCTCAGACTTGAGAGGGTTTGTGCATAGAGTCAGGATGCAGTAGGAATCAGATGGTCCCCCGAACTCAGCCATGACGGCAGGCAGCTTTAACAGGGGGACTGTGGACTCCAGTGGGAAGGAGGCTGGGAATCTGCAAAGCAGGACGTAGCACCCCTGGCTAGTAACAGCAGGGAGCCAGGGATCATCACCACCCTTAGGGCTGGAAGGGGCTGGAGGGAGAAGTGACCAGAAGGTGACAGTGTGGGGAGGGTCCTGCAAGAGTCCTGGCTGCTGAATTTCTTCCTTTCCCCTTCCTCCTCCACATTCCCTCTCCTTCCTCTTCCTCTTCCCCTCCAGTTCTCTAATCCAATTTGGGCATCTCTCAGAATCACCTGGAAGGCTTGAGAAATGCCGCACATTTTCCGGCTCAGTAGTTCTTGGGCGGGACCCAGGAATTTGCATTTCTAAACTGGTCCAGGGGAGGCGGGCGCAGCAGGACCAGGAGTGGGGCATCTGCTGGGCACCTCATCAGCCCCAGGACTCAGTGGACTAGGAGCCCCTCGGGGGCAGGACTCTCTGATTCCATCCCTGTAGCTCCATACCCGAGGGCTGGTGAGAGGGCCCAGCCTCCACCTCCTGCTCAGGTGAATTCAGGGGCAGTTGCACCTCCATTCGCAGCATTTGCACCTGCCCTGTGTTCACCGCTGTTCTGACCGTCCACGCCACAGCGTGGCAGTCCCGGTTGAGGGGGGCTCGTGTGCAGGGGGTTTATGAGGCACACTCTTGGGATCGACGGCAGGGAAGGAAAGTCAGCAAATGGGAGTGGGCAGGGACAGTGGACCATGATGCCATCTCAGTGGAAGCCCTGATGTCCCTCTGAGGGAGCTGGGACTGCCTGTCCAGCTGTCCTGAGGGGGGAGAAGGTGCCCCCATCAGTGGTTGGATGTGGCCACACTGGGAAGGAGTGAGACTGGGAGGAGGCTCTGTGCACCTGAGGGCACCCCTGACCTTCAAGGCTGCAGCTGAGTGTCTCCAGTGGGTGGCTCAACCGTGGGGATGAGGATGTGATAATAACAATGACACTGAGGGCAGACATGCCACAGAACACCACAGAACACGCCATTTAACAAACAGATGTATTCTGTGTTGGTTCTGGAGGCAGAAATCCCAGATCGAGCTGTCTGGTCGGTTCCTACTGCGGTCTGTGACCTGGGTCTGCTCTGGCCCCGCTCTTTTAGCATGGAGAAGGCCGCCACCTCCCTGTGTCCGCACATGGTCTTCCCGGGGTGGGTGTCTGTGTCCTGGTACCCTCTTCTTGTGAGGATACCAGTCATTTCAGATTAAGTCCACCCTAATGACCTCATTTTACCTCAGTCACCTCAGTGAAGGTCTCATCTTCTGGGCAGCCAATTCTGAGCTACCAGGAGTTAAGAACATTTCAATATATGAATTTGGGGTTCGGGAGAAAGACTCAACTCAGCCTATCAGAGTGGGAGAGGTGACATTGCAGGATCAGATTCCCAGGGTTGGGAGAGGAGTGATAGGAAAGGAAGGGCAGGAGGTGGCATCCTAGAAAGTGGGAGTCGGGCAGGTCTTTGAAGCCTGAATGGTAAGGGGCAGCTCAAGGCCACTGACTGAATGGTGACAACAAGGACTTTCCCCGCCTGGCCCCTCCCTTCCTCCCTGAGCTCTGAGTGAGAACTGAGGATTTGGCTGTTCCGAGGGAGCTCATTGCTTCTTTCTGGGGACGTGGAGCAGATGGGGCCTGGTGCTCTCTGCAGCCACCATAAGGGAGGACACAGGTGGGTGGCAGGGCCTGCGTCAGAGCCACTCCAGAGAGTGACAGGCAGATGGCGGCTTCTGGAGAACAGGAGGACGTTGGCAGGAGAGCGACAACCTGCCTAAGAAGGGTCAGCCATGGAAAGGGCTGGAGTGTGCACCTTTGGGCGGGAGTCATGTTAGCAGGGGTCCCCAGAGACTGCCGCCTAGGCCGGAGGCTGGGCCAGGGTGCAGAGTGGGCCGGCCTGGCAGAGGCACGCATTCACCATTTATTGAGTACCTACTGTGCGCCAGAACTCGGGGTGCAGGTTGCCATAGTGCTAAAGCTGGGAGTCACAGAGTGCTTGTCCTCACGGGGTTCAGAACCTGGCAGGGGAGCTAGGTGCGGACCAGAGCACTGCAAGTCTGATCAGTGTTGGGAACACAGCTGCTGTGGGAACGCCAGCAAGGGAATGTAACGTCCTGAAGGATGACACTCCAGCCAGGGCCAGAAAAAACGGTAACAGGAAGCAGGTGAGGCTCCAGGCAGAGGTGACATTTGTCACAGGCTCATTATGTGCCGGGCTCTGCACTTAGGACCTGATATTCCCTACCTTGTTCAGAGAGGTGATGTGATTTGCCTGAGGGAACACAGCTAGTTGCTACAAGGACCAGGATATGGCAGCGGGAAATGGAAAGATCTTTTTAAGTCTGAATTCCAGCTCTGCCTTTTCCTGGCTCTGTGACACTGGCTGGGCCACTTCACCTCCATGAGCCTCGGTTTTCCCATCTGTAAAACAAGACCCGCTCCCCAGGGTCTTGGTGGGTTTTCACACTTAGAAACGCTACAGGCAAAACCCAGCCTGAGCTCTCTGAGCTGGAGGTCGGGAGCTGTTCCCGGGGCTGGTGCTGACAGGATGGAGGGGTGGTCCAGCGGCCAGCTCTGAGTGGGCCTGTGTTCCTCCGTAGCCCACAGCCAGTGCTCTGAGCTCTGCCCTCGTCCCAGGAGACATCCAGATGTAAGGGAGAGGGGGCAGTGAGCCCTGCACTGCCCTCAGCAGGTGCCCGGATGTGCTGTAGACTGCATGCAGAGGCCATGGGGAAGGGACCTGGGCAGTGCTGAACTTTCCCCCTCCTCCCTGACCCAACAGCCCCGTGATTCAGAGCTGAGCAGGCCTTTATGGTCTTCTTTTGACACCCTCCATCTCAAGGTGGGTATGTGGGCCCAGAGAGGACAGGGCTTTGCTCAAATCCCATAGTGACTAGAGCAGCTTGGGATCTAGAATCCAGTGAAGCCACCAGAGGGGGAACTACATGAGCAGAGGCCTGTCTGCCCTTTCCCACTGCCCCCTGTGCTTGGCACATCGGGGACCTCAGGTAATATTTGTTGAGCGAGCAGGTATAGTGAGAAAGCCCACAGCCTGGGGCGTGGGGCCCGAGGTGGACTTTTGTCCCCTCTCTGGCCAGCTTCATCTCCCTGGGCAATTGCTTCCCCTGCAGAGCCTCCATTTCCCACAGTGAGTTCACAAACCCATGTGGGAGGTACCCAAGCAGAGATTCGAACCCAGGTCTACTGGATGCCAGGGCTGAGCGTCTACGCCACCCCTCCTGGTTCCTTTGCCCACCTGACTCATCCAAATACCCTCTCTTTGAGATCTTTACTGAGCACCTACTATGTTCTGGTTATACTGCAGTGAAAACAGGAGAGGAGGTGTCTGCTGTGGGGTGGGGAGGGGGGTGGGGCGCAGACAGTAAGCCCATAGAGAGAAAGAACAGGAAGGGCAGTGAGTACTGTGAAGGACCCGTGGTAAGGGCCAGGATATGGGCTGCTGTGGTCAGGGAAGAGAGGACATTTGGTGTGACATCTGACCTGGAAAGGCTCCGGGGAGCAGCACAGCCCTCTGGGGAGCTGCCCTGGTGGCACAGGTCTCTTCCGTCTGCCTTGCAGGTGAAGCAGATCATGGAAGAGGCCGTCACGCGCAAGTTTGTCCACGAAGACAGCAGCCACATCATCTCCTTCTGCGGTGAGTCGGTGGCCACCCGCGGCCTTTCCTGGGAGCTGCCTTAGGAAAGGCGTCTTCCAGCCAGAATCGCGCGTCATGGTTTGCATTGTGACTCCCAAGTTAATTTTGGATCCTGAAGGGACTCAGTTGGAGAACCTGGAAATGCAGAATAGTGAGAGAGGCAGTTGACAGTGACTTCCACACCCCCCTGGAGAGGTGGCTGAAGCTCTTCACGTGGGCACCACCCACACGCCTAGCCGTGGTGTCCTGGCCCCTGAGCAGCGACCTCCGTGCTGGTTCCCTGCTCTGCTGTGAGCTGGCGAGGTACAAGAACAGGGTGGCTGGGGACTTTCTAAAGACAGGGAGTGAAGAGCCGCTGACACCTCCCGAGGGACCATGGCCAGCTGGCTCAGCAAAGGCACAGGCCTGGTACTCGGAGCGTGACTCAGACTTCTCTGCTAAACCCGCTCTGCTTGCCAGGTTCCAGGATAATGGCACTGCCAGGTGCTGCTGTGCTTTGACGGTGGCTAGAGACGGGGCTTAGCGTGAGTCTGAAGTCAGCACTCAGCTCTAGGTCAGTGTGCGCCCTGGGGGTGATTCTCGTCCTTCCTGGGAACTTTGTCTTCAATGACGGCAGTGTCTCCTGTGAAGGCTTGCTGCAGTCCCCCTCCCTATGACTTCGGCCCCAGGAAGAGCCTGAGCAAGGGCACCCGCCAGCCCACCAGCTCCATGTGCATGGCTGGGACACCACGCAGGGGCTCACAATATGCTGAGCATGCACGTGACCTGGGGGACCAGAGGCTCAGTTCACCTGCTTTTCACCTAGACATACCTGTGTCTGCCTCTTGCTGGGTGACTTTGGGCAGGAATCAGGGATTGAACTCCGGGGCCCTCCACCACTGAGCCACATCCCAGACCTGTTCTGTGTTTTATTTAGAGACAGAGTCTCACTGAGTTGCTTAGCACCTCACATTTGCTGAGGCTGGTTTTGAACTTGCCATCCTCCTGCCTCAACCTCCCGAGTCCCTGGGATGGCAGGTGTGGGCCACCGCCACCCACAAAGTCTTATTTTTTAAGTGGAATGTGTTTATTTAAATATACACACATATATGCACACTCAGGTACTTATAGGTGTATATATAAATATATGTATTTTCATATATGTGTATATGAGTACATATGAATAAGTACATATGTATATGAGAATATTATATACCTATGTTTATTTGAAACATTAATATTTTGTTATATTTATGTAGCTTTTTATTTTCTCCTGGACTTTTTTATTTGCAAATAAAAAGCATACATGTCCATGTCAAGACTTGCTAACATATCTATCAGTTAAGGCCTTAGAGAAGGAGAACGTGATAAGAAGCATAGTCATAGTTCCCTAACTCTGACCATAGTTTCTGTATGAGAGAAATCAGATGGCAGCAACGGAGGCTTGAAGGGCCCATCGAGGTTTCTTTTATCCATTCTCCTTAGAAGCTTCTGTCAGAAAGGACCCAACACTGTATACAGAGCCTGAAGGTGATCAACTTATTTCAGTATAAACAAAGTGGAAAGTTTTATACGTACAAGTTAAAATTAAGATCGTAAAAACGGTTTCACCCAAAATATTTTAAATGCATGAGCAGAGTGGATGGTGTGATTTGGACATTCATTCAAACAAGTACTTGCCAACTCAGAGACAAGCCACTGACCCAAAGCCTCTTCCTGTCTCTCTTTGCTCTTGACCTTGGCCGAGCCATCCACCCTGCGTGGCTCACTAGGGCTCTTCGTGGGTTTTGTCTCAAGAGTTAAGTGAGGTAAACCTTAACAGTCATCTGACACCCAGCAGGTGCCCAATAAGGAGTAGCTGCTGTTATATACTCACTTTTTCAGTAAGCATTAATGATGTACCTGTTGTATACTGGCATGAGGAGAAGGTGAGAAGATGGAGGGCTCCCAGAAGTACCAGAGGCCATCAGAATGGCCTGCACAGGACCAGTTTCTCAGAATGACTCCCTTCAGCCCAGAGAGGGAAAGTGGTTTGCATGAGGTCACACAGTGAGTTAATGGTAGAGACCAGGCTATATATAACCCAGGTGTCCTGTTCTGAGGAGAGCTGGGAAGGACTTCCAGGGAAAACGGAAGTGAGAAGATTGCTATGAAATCCCCAAAAGAGTTTCAGGTACAGCACACCTTGAACTCAGATTGGGTTTGAATCCTGACTCTATCACTCATTTTCTGGGTGGCCATGAGCCATTCAGTTCACCTCTCTGATCCTCAGTGTCCACATCTGAGGAGTGAGGATAGTTTTCCTTTCTTCCCTGGCCTGGCAGAGAATAAAGGAGACCCATACGTGTTAGCTGTGCTACAGACACAGTGTCAATGATGATGATATCGATATTGATATTCCGTGGCCAGGTAGACTCAGCAGTCCATGGCCCATCTCTCCCTCTCTGACAGCACTATAGCTAACATTCATAAAGCACCCACTGTGTGCCTGGCTCTGCTAAGTACTCCCATCATTCTCTCCTCTCGTAACAGCAGCTCTGAGGCCAATGCTCACACTTCTGCCCTTTCCAGGTGAGGAAGCCGAGACACCGAGGGGGTCATTGCCCAGTCACACAGCTGGCTAGTGACCAGCAGAGGACCTGAGTAGAGGTGGTCCAGCCTTGAGCCACAACTGTGGGTCACCCACTAAACTCTCTTGCTTCATTAGAAGGGGAAGCCGGCTGGGGTGCAGGGCAGCCGGAGGCAGGTGATGCTGGGGACTGGCTGTCCAAGGAGCCCATGTCTGACTGAAGCTCTGAGCCCTGCTGGGAACATGGGCAGGAGAGTCAGTGCTGCTGACCGCCATGTCCCCACAGCCGCGGTGGAGGCCTGCATCCTGCACGGGCTGCGGCGGCGGGCAGCTGGCTTCCTGCGCAGCAACAAGATCGCGGCTCTCTTCATGAAGGTGGGCAAGAGCTTTCCGCCGGCCGAGGAGTTGAGCCGCAAAGTCCAGGACCTGGAGCAGCTGATCGAGAGCACGTGAGTGTGGGGACCAGGCTGGTCAGTCCCCTGGAGAGTGACCCCCAGTCCCTTCAGGAATCCATAGCCCCTGCTACTCTTTCTGCTCCTCAGACCCGCCAGCCTCTTTCCACCTCAGGGCCTTGGCACATACTGTACCTCCAGCAGGCTCCCCGACTTGGTCTTCCATGGCTGTTTTTTGTCATCATTCAAAATTCCCCAGCTCAGTCACTGCCAGCCCTCACCCCATCTTCTACTTCATATCACCTGGTTACTTCCTTCCCATTTGTTCCTGCCATTGGGAATTAGCTATTTCTTGTTTAATTGTGAACTTGATCGTCATCTCTGCATGAGAAACGGCAGCTACATGTATGCCACCCTATTGTGTCCCTAGCATCTGGGGCAGTGTCTAGCACCTGGAACATGCCCAGGAAACAGTTGGTGCTGGGCCACACACCCTGTTCTCAATGCAAAGTTTCATAGAATCAACATGCTGTCATCTGCAAGGGGCAGCTGCTGGAGCCACTGGGTAAAACCCTCTTTGAGGCATCCATTGAAGGGGGAGGAGTTTCACTCCCCTGTCGTGGTGACTGGTTAATGAGCTGGGGAGGTTTATGGACTGACTGTGTCACATGGTCCCTGTTGCCATAATCACCCCCTCAAGTCCTGAATGCACAGCCAAACCCCCAACTTGGGGCCTGGTTAGGGGTGGCAAATAGGTTTTCGCTCCAGTTGTGCCTGGGGCTCCCAGAGACTGCAATGAAGGACTCTGAAGCCGTGGTTGGGCATCTTGGGAAAATGTGCGTGGATTGATTGGCCGTGTCTGTCACATGCAAGGGAAGGGAAGGGGAGAGATAAACATACTCTGTGTTTGTCAGTTCTCTGTTACTGTGACAAAATACCTCTCATAATTAACTTAAAAAGAGGAAAGGTTGACTTTGGCTCAGAGTTTGAGAGGGTGTTTTTGCTGATCAGTGGGCTCTGTTACTGGGCCTATGGTGCGGTAGCTGTTCACTTTATGGCCAGGATGCAAAAAAAAAAAAAAATTTTTAAAGGAGGAAGGAAGAGAACCACATCTCACAGGGCCGCTTGAGGGCACTCCCTAATAACCTAAAACCTTCCGCCAGGCCCTCCCACTAAAGGTTCCACCTCCTCCCAGTAGCCCCAGGCTGAGGGGGAAGACTTTGACACATGGACCTCTGGGGGATGTTTCAGATCCAAACTCCAGCGTTCCCTAAGGTTGCCATCTCTGTGTAGGCTGGTCACTGCACTCCACTGAGGGAGAAACGGCCCCCCTTTTGCTCTTGCCCTTCAGGCCCTGCCTGTCCAGGGCTGCTCCATAACTGAATGGTGAGCAGAGCTCAGGACTGGGCTTTGCCAGCTCCGTTTGGAATGACTTCTTAGCCACCTTTAGGTTCCTTCCAGCTCACCTACTGAATTCCTGGCTGATTACAGATAACAGGGCCTTCCACCGTGTGGGTCTGACTTCCCAGGGAGGGATCGGACCTGCCCTTGCCCGGGCCGTAAGGGACAGCCATCCGTTCGCTTGTGCAGTCACTCATTCATGAACACGATTACTGAGCATCCCCCTGTACACCAGGCACTGTGCTGGGCCCTGGAGGTACAGACACAAGGGGGCCTGTGCTTGCCACATGTTTAGTCCATATTCTTAAGATCACAGAACGGAGGGGAACACAGAAAATGGAACAGCTTAGGGGGCAGAGATCAGCTTTGTCTGGTTCCAGAGGGCTTCCTGTAGGAGATGGCCTTGCTGAGACCCAAAGGGTGAGAAGGGATCAGCCCAGGAATGGGGACAAGAGGGAAAACAGGAAGCGGCATCAGCATGTGGAAAGTTCTAGAGAGCCTGGCAGCCTCAGGAGTCTTCTTGTGCTCTGTGTCATGGAGTGAGCAGGTAGAGTAAGGGGCTGCTGGAGAGGTGGGGGCAGGTCATGGAGCACCCTGACAGTCATGGGGAAGACCTTCCTTTGCAGGGGCACTGGGGAGCCACTGAAGGATCTGTAGTCCAAGGCTCTTGGTCAGCATGTCATTCCAGGAGAGAAGGAAGGAGCCAGGGAGAGAGGGAGGTGTGTCAAGAGCATCTGAAACCCTCTGTTGAACCACATCTGCACACTCACTGGGGATTATTACTTTTTCAACACTTGACCCAGATGATTGGAGCAACATGGGCTCCTGTTTAGCTGTCCTTCCTTCATTTTCTAGCAAGAATGAGCATTTTCCCGTTTGCATATTGGTCCTGTGGATTTCATTTTTTGTTTCTGTTCTTTCTTGTTGGTCTTGAAGGCGAAACCAGATCCAGGGCCTCCAGGAAAATGCGAGGAAGTTGCCCAAGCTGTCCAACCTGTCCCCACTCGCCATCAAGCACCTGTGGATCCGCACCGCCTTGTTTGAGAAGGTCCTGGACAAGATTGTGCATTACCTCGTGGAAAACAGCAGGTGAGGGGGAAGGCCAGATGCCCGGGTGTGCTCTGCCTCCACCTGCTGCCTGTCCTGGGAATTGCACCCTTGCGTCTTTCTTTGTCCCGTTGACAATGCGAGTGGGTCTGAAAGTGATTTTAAACAGGCCTCCTGGATGTTCCACCCTGAGCCAGGCTAGCTTAAAAAAATGATGATTTGGGTGTTTAAGATCATAGGCTTCTGACTTAGGGCAGGGTGAAGGGATCCTGGGTTTCTTCCTTCTCCTGTAGAAGACTCCACTTGTGGCCTTAAGGGGGGGGCGGCAGGAGAGAATAACCTGTGCAGGTGTGTTCTGTTCCTATTCCCATCTTTCCGCAGAGGACTCTGAAGCTTAGAGAGGGCATTCACTTGCCTAGGGAGCCACGGCAAGGTGGCAAGTGGCTGAGCGGGGCTCCCATGCAGTCTGTCTGACCCCACACCCGTGTCCTCCACCCACTGCTGGGTGACAGCAAGGGCCAAGCCAACTGGATGTAGCCCAAGCCTGCACAGCCCTGCAGATGCAGTGACCTGACATGTGTCACCTCCAGCAAGTCATTTACCCTCTCTGAACCCAGCATCCCTGGAAGGCTCCTTCCAAACTTTGAATTCTGTTGGTCTGGGGGTTGCATGAGTTTTCAAGGATTTAGGAACCATGACACCGTCGTAAGTCACACAAACAAACAAATGCAGAAGCATTCAGCCTGATCCTTGTCTGGATGACGTCTCATAGTACCTTGCAGAGCCGGGTTTCAGGGGGCTTTTCTGAGCATCTCAGGCCGGCGTTCCCAGCATGAGGTGTCGGGGCAGGAAGGCCTGTTAGCACAGCATTGGGAGCACAGTGCAGGTAAGAGGCACTTTATTATCTCAGAGAGAGAAGGGCAGACATAGCTGAGCCTCTCAGGACCTCCTGTCTTCAGCAGAAGTCCTGGTGGAATCATCCAGCCTGCCACTCATTACTCCTGTTGCTCAAGGGCCCGTGTGTTCAGGTGGACACCAAACTCCACGCTGATACTGTTCATCTCGTTTCTCTCAAAAGTCCTCCAGCATCCCTGTGATATATACCGTGATTGTCCCCATTTGACACATGGGCAGCCAAAGCTCTGGCAGTAAGAGGGTAGTGGGGCATTGAACCTGCTTGTCAGCCATGTGTTCTCTGCTGGCCTCCATCCAAACCCCCGTGTCCTTTCCTCTTCTAGTAAATACTATGAGAAGGAAGCTCTCCTGGTGGACCCCGTGGACGGCCCCATCCTTGCATCCTTGTTGGGTAAGTGGACTGGTGCTCTGACTTCCGTGTGGTCCTGGGCCTCAGGGGTGCCTCCTGAGGGCCCCTGGCTCCTCTCCAGCCTCCTCCATCCAAACTGCTCACTGCCTCCTGCTCCCAGGGCCTCCTCTGGCCTCTTCTTTGCAGGACTCTGGGGCTTCCCGGCTGGCTGGAGGGGAGGGGTGGTGGAATGAGTGGCCCCTCCTGCGGGAGTTGGGAGGGTGGGCTCTCTGGGGCTGCAGTTTCCAGCCCCCTGTGCTCTGCAGTGGGGCCCTGTGCCCTGGAGTACACCAAGATGAAGACCGCGGACCACTTCTGGACCGACCCCTCCGCCGACGAGCTGGTTCAGAGGCACCGCATCCATAGCTCGCACCTGCGGCAGGACTCGCCCAGCAAGCGGCCAGCCCTCTGTGTGAGTGCTGTGGGCAGCGGGGCTGTGGGAGGGCCAGGGGACAGGGTAGAAGTCACTCCAGGGCCACCTGTCTGTCTCCTGTCACACTACCAGATCCAGAAGAGGCATTCGAGCGGAAGCATGGACGACCGGCCGTCCCTGTCTGCCCGTGACTATGTGGAGTCCCTGCACCAGAACTCCAGAGCCACCCTGCTCTACGGCAAGAACAATGTTCTGGTTCAGCCGGTGAGTGTCCACCATGGACCCAGATCTTGCTCTGAGTGTCTGCTCCTGGTTATGGAGGAGGCTTTCCCTCTGGCTCTGGGTTGTTCATCTGTTTATTCATCCATCCATCCATCTGTCCACCCATCCTCACCGGATCTCTAGCCTGCTGTCCAGCCAGTCAGCTCTCTTCCATTCTCTCTGGGCTTCCTTCTGTCCAGGCTCCACCCACCATTTGTCCATCCGTCTGTTTATATTTTTACCCACCCACCCATCTATCTAACCACCTTTGCACCCACCCATTCACCTGTCCTAATACTGAGGCCTGTACAGGTGAATTAGGGGACAGAATCATGATTTGAATTCACGCCAAAGGGTGCCACTCATCAGTCACCTTCTATGCCCCAGAGGCTGGCCAGGCTCCAGGGGTGCAGGGACAGTGGGGCACATGCAGCCCCTGCCCTAATGCAGTGTCTCCTTTGGCTGTTGCCTCTCCAGGGCCATTGGGTCACAGGGTCAGCATAGTGTCTGGGCTCTGCTGGGAGGAAGCTCTGTGAGTCATCAGCCAACCCAGATGTGTGGGTGCAGTTTCAGTCAATCACTGGGTAACCCTGGGCAACTCCTCGTCTTAGCCACAGTATCTGCTCTCTGTGGGCACAAACCTTGTTTGCTCAAGTCTAAGAAGCCATGATTTTAAGATGTGCCTTTTTTTCTAAAATGCTTTTTAAATTACACATGGGACTTTTTGACTACACAATTTCACCTTACCCATTTGAATCAGGTCTTTGAGACGTAACCAGATATAGGTTTTTTTGCTTGTCTTTTAATCATACATTGCTCTTTCATACACACAAGAGAAAATGTAATTGAAATACATTAGCTAAGATGTTCTTAAAGCCTCCGCAGTCCAGAGTTTAATCTTCTATATCACTTTGGCTAAGAATCATTAATGCCCTAGTTTTTCCACATGCTTCTCTGTTCCACTATTACCTGTGGGCCAAATGTGGTCTTCCACCTGTTTTTATAAATAGAGTTTTATTGAGACCCAGCCATGACCATTAGTTTGTGTGTTATCTAGCACAGCTTTCAGGCTATGGTGGCAGAGTTAGGTTGTAGCCGAGCCTGTATGGCTCACAAAGCCAAATGTTTCTTTACACAAAAAATGTGGTGCCTCCTGACCCACAAGCCCAGAAAGTGCAGCATTTCTTCAGGAATATGCATCCTCATCTCTGAGATGGGTCTGACGTCCTGTGAAGCACTCACTTGCTGTTTTACAAGGGCATCTGGATTCACAGGCTTCCCTGCAGGGATGAATAACGTGCCTGCTTTGCCAATATCACGTTAGTAGTCTGCGGCTCTGTTCCAGCCTCTCTGTGTCATAGTAACTTTTTTCAATTCAAAGCTGAATCACAGGCTAATCTCTCTGAAGGTGTTTAAAATAGCACCTGTCCTGCTCATGCAAAATAATAGCCATGCACAAAACTCAATTGAAGTGAGGACAGGCTGAACAGCTCTGACTGAGTTTGCATGAGTTCAGGCAGTCACCTCTGCATCATGGTTGTGAGTTCTCATCAAGGGTAAGACATGTCCCCATTTAGGGAGGTTAAAATGTGAAAGGAATAGAATGTGCATCTTGGGACTGATGGAAGGCTGCGGTGGTGCTTCTCCACGGGGCACGGGGCTCAGCGGAGCCTGTGTGTGAGGACTGAGACGTGCTCCCTAGGCTCAGTAAACTGCACTTGGTGCTCAGTAAACGGTGCTGGGTCTCTGCCTGTCGTTGAGGTGGATTGGGTGCAGGGACTGCCTCCTTCATGTCTGAGGGATGTTGACACATCCCTCCTACTTGGCATAAAATAAAGCAGGTGAGAAGTCCTATGGGGAGTTAGGAAGGTGGAGGATCTGACTGCTGGGCCAGAGCATGCTGGGGACACTGAAGGAGCAGGTTGCTGGGGAATGGGCCACAAAACTCAGCTGCCACCTCTGCCTCCCTGAAGATAGGCCCAGATAAATGCCATTTTGAAAAGGGACAGAGCCCCCTTCCTAGTTCTAAAGACCCCTAGGCCTGAGAGGGAGAGTGTGATGGTGGGCGGCTTTCACAGCTGTACTTGGTAGTACTGCCCCACCCACAGGTTGGCTGCAGACAGCTTTGCTGAGCGCGGCCACCCAAAGAGGCTCAGGAGGACTTCAGCTTCTCAGATAACCTGCTCTGCACCCCAGAGTCTAACGGGTCAGGGCCTTCAGCCATATGTACTCCAACACCATGACCAGTCCTAAGCCCTTGTCTCTCTGCAGAGGGACGACATGGAGGCTGTACCTGGGTACCTGTCCCTGCACCAGACAGCTGACATTATGACCTTGAAGTGGACACCCAACCAACTGATGAACGGGTCCATGGGGGACCTGGACTATGAGAAGAGGTAGGTTGCTGGGTCCTCGCTGCACCCCGAGTCCATCCCCTCTCCTGGGCACCACCTGGGAGCGGAGATGTGCACCCTGCCCTGTCTGCCCCTCTGCCTGGTTGTTATGGAGACCTGGCCCAGCCTCCCTGCAACTGTGGCCTTAGGGGCAACTCAGAGACTCAGGAAGATGAAGAAACCAAGGGAAGAGTGTTGGGGGTGGGGGTAGCCATTGGCTTGAACACCACTCAGAGAGGGAAGTCTACAAAGACCACGGAGCCTGCAAATGCAGGATAATGGCCAGCCTCGGCCCACCCTTCCCATCACGTCCTAACAGGGGACTGGCGTTGTTACTGGGTTTCTGGTCCCTGGATCTGTCTCTTCTTTGGTACCCACGATATATGCAACTCCGCAGTGGCTTTGGAGTCATACTGGGAAGAACCACTAGACTGGGGCTCCCTCCTGCAATACCTGTGTTCTAGCCAAACCAGGGACAGCTTCAGGGAGAACAGAGGACAGCCATGGGGCTGAGGTGGCCCACCTGTCATTCCAGCTGCTGATGGGGGAAGCAGCGATTGGGCTGTTCTGAATCCACATCAAATTCTCTCTTTCTTTAATAATTTAAGCTTATTTTTTTTAAATTTTTATTTTAATGTGGCACCGAGGATCAAACCCAGTGCCTCACCTGTACTAGACAAGCACTCTGCCACTGAGCCACAACCCCAGCCCTCAGATTATACTTTTTCTTTTGCATTTTCTTAAAAAGCATTTTTACAGTCAAGAATTTTTAACATAAAAATAGTCGTGGCACAGGTTCCCATGCCCCAGCCCTCTTGGCCATTAACCATCCCCTACCTGGACATGTTTAGAAGCTTGCAGATGACCTGTGATTTCATATGCATTTTAAAATGTAGTGTTAAAAAAAATAAGGACTCATTTCAAGAAACATGGCCAAAACACTATTATTGTGTTCTACTTAATATGAAGCTCAGTGGGGTCCATATTTGATCTTGGGGTGATTCATAGCATTTTTTTAGCTGTTCACTTCCTGCTCAGAGGTGGTCAGTGAGAAGTACCAGTGGTCCCAGGCTGGGCTGGGGAACTCTGTCTCTGCCAGACTGTGGGGTTTCCAATGAAGAGGCCCTCGCCGAAGAACAGTGGAGGGCTGAGGAGAGGCCCTTGGCCTGGAACTCACCTCTTCGTCGTGAACCTTGGAACTGAGCTTTCCCTGGCCTCCCAGCAAGAGTGGCTCACCCCAGCCCTGAATCTCCCTCGTAGCATTTGCCAGACGGTAGTCTAATGATCAGCTGTGCACACTCCTCTCTCTCCTGCCTCACCCTGACTTCAGTTTCCTTGAAGACCAAGATCCTGCCGTGCTCACAGCTGATTCCTGATGCCCGCTGCAGATTGTAGCATGCAGTAGGAGCTCAGAAAACCTACTTGTTACATATTTACTGAGCACCCTCCCTGTGACTGTTCTAGACACAAGGCACTAGCAAGTCAATCAAAGGAAAGCAAAATCCTTACCTTCTCAGAGCTCAAATTATGCTGGGGAAGAAAAGAAATAACCAAGTACACAAGGTCCTTGCCCAGCCCTCACCTTGCTGGGTGACCCAGAGTATGTCACTCCACCTCTCTGAGCCTCAGTTTCCCCTTCCTCTTCAGTGAAGGAGTTGAACAAGATGGTCTCCCCAGAATTCAAGGGATTCCCAGAGGGTCTAATAAGTGCTTCTACACCCCCGAGGCATGTTCTTCCTAAAGCTTTAAACAGCCCCAGGACCCTGCTCTTCACTTGGATGGAGGCCCAGGAGTGTGTGGGTGGGAAACCTGTGATGCCAGCTTGGAGAAAGGCTCATCCCCCACTGCTCCAGCTCCTGCCACCAGGGGCTCTGCGTTTCCACATCATCTTCCTCTGTGAACAGGCGCGACGTAGATGCTGCAAAATTGAGTTTCAACTAAATCTGGACCTTCAAGGTCACCATCCTGGGGTTGGGGATGTCCACATCTCTGAGCTCTGAACTCCCTGCCACCTTGTTATTCTCAACCAGAGCCTCAGTTGGAAGAGAGAAACAGGCAGGAATCAGAAACATGAGGTTGGAGTGCGGGGACGGGAGACGACCAGGGGCTTCAGCATCCCCTTTGGGACTAAGAGACACTGAAGACAAAGGGGGTGGTCCTTCTGGGAAAGCACAGGAGCTCTTCTCTCTTTTTCCAGCCATCACCTCCTCTTGCATAACCATGGTCATAACTCCCCAGCTGGGCTTCTTAGTGTTAGAGAAGAAATATCCCCAAGAGGTGGCTACTCAGGCTCTGGAGTCAGACTGGGCTTGCCCCTGTCCCTGCTCTGCTGTGTGGAGCAGTGAAGTGGGAGAACCGCTGTACCCTTTGGCAGGTTCATCCGTTCAGAGGCCCCAGCACCTCCATGCCTAGGGATCTACCCAGGAGCATGATAACTTACCTACACAAAAGCTTATACACAAATGTCCACTGTAGCGTTGTTCCTAATAGCTCAGCTGGAAGCAGTAATTCAGATATATATATATATATATATATTTTTTTTTTTTTAATTTTTTAGTTGTAGTTGGACACAATACCTTTATTTTATTTACTTTTATGTGGTGCTGAAGATCGAACCCAGGGCCTGGCACATGCTAGGCAAGTGCTCTACCGCTGAGCCACGACCCCAGCCCCTCAGATATGATTTTGATCACTGGGTTTCAAGGGTTCTGCTTGGGTCATGGGCCATCCTGCACCAGTCACTGTCACTGGACAGTGGAGCGTGCTGATTGGCCAGGCCTGGGTCAGGTGATCATTGCTGGAGTCCTGGGGTAGAGAGTCGTGGGTTCATCCTACCTGGGCCACATGGGCCGGGGAAGACGCTTCCCTCAGAAACTGAGGCTCTGGAACCAAAAGAAGAGGAGAAAGGCTGGGACACCAAAGTTGGGGACAAGGGAGGACCTCAGGAGTGGTCCTCTGGCTTCCAAAGCCCCTGCCCACCATAAGGTAGGTGGCCTTCCTACAAGCCTCGCCTCTCTCCCTTCCAGTGTCTACTGGGACTACGCCATGACCATCCGCTTGGAGGAGATTGTCTACCTGCACTGTCACCAGCAAGGTAGGGACCACAGGAGATCACGGGACTGGTGGTATTCCTCTTGGATGCCCTGCTGCCTTTAGCTCTGATTGTTCATTAGCCTCATAAGATAATGTGGTGGACATCCTGTTACCTGTGCAACTTCAAGCAAGTGGCTGTACCTCTCTGAGCCTGGGTTTTCCCTCTATAAAATGGCAATGCCTATTATTTCATTGTCACGACAACCCAGTGAGAGGTGTACTCCCATTTTAGAGGTGAAGAAGCCACCTGACACAAAGCCACACACCCTGTGAACTCCAGAGCCTGGACTCAAACCAGGTCTTTGTGACTCCAAAGTCAGTGCTCCTCAGTGGTTCTTTAAAGTCAGAAGAAGCTACAGTCAAAAGAGGCAGATGGCCGTCCTGCTTTAGGAAGCGAGTGGCCTGTGTCTCACGGAGGTGTGAGACACTGCAGCTCAACTCCTAAGACGGACCTGGGTCCAGATCTGTGACCTTGAGGAAGTAACTTACCCTCTTGGAGGCTGGGTTTCATTTGTAAAGTAGTAGATCGGCCTCATGGGGATATCGTGAGTGTTGGACAAGACAGTTCTCATAGGTATTGTGCTGGTGCACAGGAAATGTCCCCCACACTAGCCAGAGTCACCTAGGGGCCTGAGAGGGGTGAAATCTGGACACCCCATTCCCCAGTGAGCCAGGTGGATTTGCAGCAGGTTCTGGAGGAGCTTGGGTGTTTCAGGGCATCTTTCCTTTGGCAGGTAACTTTAGGGAGGCCACCACACTGTTCCTGACCTTGTCCTGTAGCTCCCCATCCAGGTGGATGGTGGGTGGGATGGGTGGGACACGGGAGAGGTGAAACCTGCCCTGACCTTTTGCCCAGGCCTGGCCCAGAGCCTCAGATGCTTGGTCTGGCTGGGCACCTCTGGGGACATGTATTTGCAGAGTTGGGGGCTTGTCACCATGCCTCATAGTGACTTCCCACTGGGTCTTCTCTGCTGGTCATGGTGGCAGTGGACAGCGGCGGGACAGTGGTGTTGGTCAGCCAGGATGGGATCCAGAGGCCGCCCTTCCGCTTCCCCAAGGGCGGGCACCTCCTACAGTTCCTCTCGTGCCTGGAGAACGGGCTGCTTCCCCACGGGCAGCTGGACCCGCCTCTCTGGTCCCAGCGGGGAAAGGTGAGTGGCCTTAGGGGTGTGGGCCCTTATGTGACTTCGCGGGCTGGTGCACACCCCACCGAGACCCTTAGGCTGTGCAGGTTTGAGGACAGCTGTGTCCTTTCACTGGGACGTGTCCTTCCAGGGCAAAGTGTTTCCCAAGCTGCGCAAGAGAAGCCCTCAGGGTTCCTCGGAGTCCACATCTTCAGACAAGGAGGATGAGGAGGCCACAGATTACGTGTTCCGGATCATCTACCCCGGCTCGCAGTCTGAATTTGGTAAGCCGCCTGGCCCGGCCCAGGGGTCCACTTGCCACCTGAACCTGGGAACAGCCCCAGGCGTTTGGAACAAGAAGACAAGGTGTCAGGATTCTGGGGCTGGCCGGGGACCTGGGACCTAGAAGTCAGTATCTTGGTAGCCTCAGCTCCATCCACCTGCTCACAGAGATGCCACTAGACAGGAAGCAACACGGGGTAGTGACAGTGGCATGGCCTTGGAATCCAAGCTGCACCTAGCAAGTCACTTCACTCCATGTTCCTCCGTGTCCTCAGCTGTAAGTGGGGCTGTTTGCAGCACCTGTCTCATAGGGTTGCTGGGAGAAGGGACCCGGACAGGGCCTTCGGCACCTAAAGACGACTCGAATGTTAGCTGCCCTCCTGTCCGCCTTGCGATGTTCACTTCAAGTCAAAACTTCGGTGACATGAGGGGGTGATGAGAGCAGCGCGTTGTGGGGGGGAGGAGTCTTGCCGTGGTAACCGCAATGAGCGGTGGTGAGAACGGCAGTGGGGAGGCGAGCAGCGGCACTGTCACCAGGTCACGGCAGATGCCCTGCAGTCCTTATGGTGACTGCTGTGAGAAGATGCTCTGCCCAGGGTGGCTCACCATGATGGGGCGGGGGGCGTGCGAACACTGTGAATGAACCTGTGCAGCACTCAGAAGGGGCCTGGCACTTAGGCGGCCCTCTCTGGTGTCTGTTAAAGTAGTTCTGAGTTACAGCTTCTTTTCTGTTAGGCTCGTTTGTTTAGACCTCTGCATGCATGTTGATCCCATTTGAGGGACAGTGGCCCTGAGCCTCCCTTTGCATAAGCGACCCTGTGCTGAGCGGTGAGAGGCTCTTCGGAAAGCAGACAGATGTCCTCCCTGGCAGGGGGCTCATGGAGCCAGGCCCCTTACTTTCCTGGCTCTCCTCCTTGGCCAAGCACCACTGGGCCCGGGGCAGGCCTGGCGGTCAGGTATCGTGTCTCTTGCATTAGCCTGTGCTCCGCCCCCTGCCCCCCCCCCCCGCCGCCATGATGTTCTTTCAGAGCTCAGCAAAGCCTTGTTCCCACCTCACTCAGGTGTCCATGGCCACTGCTGCCCAGCATTAGGCCTCCCCATGGGAGCAGGTCTCTCAGGTAGCACTGGCCGTACCCCAAGGCTGTGCTGGCCCAGTGCTGAGAGCACAATCCCCCAGGATGGGGAGCTGGCTTCTATTCCCTTTCCCAAGAACCTGGGCTCCATCCTGAAGACTGACATTAGGACACCCCCTGGTGAGCCTTGTATCAGAGAGGCCAGATCCCTGGGGCTCTTCCCAGGAAATGCTTCCTGCGGATTCTCACCCAACAAATAATTTGCCTACTCCTGCCGGGAACCAGGCTGGTGCTGGATGCTTATTTGGGGGATGTTTGTGCTGTATCCTGTTGGGGATCCTGTGGCCAGGAACAGAGGCCAGCCCGGCTCACCCACAGTCCTTGGCGCCTCCCATTCTGGGCCTGTGGTTTAACTGCCATCTCCCATGGAGGTGTCTGCTTGGTGGAAAGGCTTCTCTGCCACCAGGCTCCCTTCTCCGTGAGCGAGGCACGTTGGAAATGTCAGGGAATCAGCGTCTCCCTGGAGACTCCTCTGGCCCATGGCTAACCAGGTTGGTGTGCAGATCCCAGCTCCCTCGGCCCTCGGGTGAGCAAGCTCTGAAATGTGCATGCTTTGCACAGCCCCTCAAGGTCCCCAAGGCCATCGGGCACAGTTGCCCCTCGTGGAAACCTGCCTGGTCATACCCTCCACTCCTGGCCCTTCCTGGCCTATCTCGCTCACCTCTCTGCTATCCATGCTTCTTAAGAGCATCTCCCAGATAATCGACTTGGGGTCCCTGCCTACCTTTGAGGAATCCTGATGACGCAGCGTATGTGGGACAGGGCCCCTCCACCTTGGCTCTGCTGAGGTGAGGCTGGAAGTACCCTTCACAGGATGGGCTTGTCCTGTGCATGGAGGATGCTGGCCACATCCCTGGGCTCAGACCCTGGATGCCAAGTAGCAAAGCTCTCATGTTCCTCCAAGTTGTGACAACAAGAAATGTCTCCAGACATTGCCATGTGTCATCTCGGTGGGCAGATGGGTTGCAAAATTGCCCCTGCTTGAGAACCACTGGTTTCCAGAAAAGAAACCATCACTGGATACTGCTCTGCCACTGCAGGACACTCACGGGGTCCTTCCTGTTCAGGTCTCCCTTCCTTGCCTGGAGGACAGGATGACAACACTGCCCTCCACCCTGGGTCAAATTCTGAGGGGTCAGTACGATGATTTGTGAAACACCTTTCACTAGATGCAGGCCCATTCCTTAGTGGATGCTCAGGTCCCAATCGCAGGTCTCCTGTACTGAGTGCCACACGTGCCAGGCCCACTTCTGCACTCACTGTGTCTTAATTCACCTCACCCCCAGCGTAGCTCTCCCGAGCAGGATGTCATCACCATTCCCTGTTGTGCAGAGGAGAAAACTGAGGCACAGAAAGGTAAATCAACTGATCCAAGGTCACTCAGCTGGTTTGGGGCACGGCTGGGCTTTGCACATAGGTGCCTCCAGCACCTGTGCCTCTAAGCGCCACTCCATGCCTATGGTCCTGATGGTGGGGGAGAGGGCAAAGTACTTTCACCTTCTTCAACCTTGAGGTCAGAGGCAGCCCTCAAAATGGTGACCCCACCCCCATCCTTGGTTGGAATTCTCAGGGGCCTGAGCCACACAGCGTTACCAATTTAGAAAAATCAAAAATCAACACACCTCTTCCTGTGGGCCACATTTTGCAAATAACATTTTATTGGAACATGGCCATATTCGTTCATTCACATATGGTCTGTCATGCCACAACAGCAGGGTTCAATAATTGTGACAGAGCTCAGATGGCCCCAGGCCAAAAATACATATTATCTGGCTCTTTGTGGAGAAACCATGCAGATGTTTGCCTTAAAGAGGAAGACGATTACTTCTCCATGCGGGAGGGAAGACGTGGCTTAGCTGCTTCTACACTGCCTCCCCCTGTCATATGCTCCTGTCCCCACCACTGGATCTCTGGCCTGTCTTTGTGCACAGAGGGGCAAAGACCAGTACTACAGTGCGGACAGGTCACGGTCGGATCCTGGCCTTCCAGGCTCCTCTCTTGCTGAGGTTGTCTGTGCTGCGGTGGCCACAAGGCACGTGTGCCAACCAAGCACTCGGAAGGTGTGGCTGGTGAAGTTGAAGCGTGAGGCGTACTGTGGGTGCAAAACATGCCCCAGATTTTGAAGACTTTATATGAGAAAAAGAGAATGTGTATTTTTGCATGAATAATTTTATATTGATTATATGTTGAAAGGATAACATTTTGGAAATGTTGGGTTGAAATTATTGGGACTGTTTTCACCTGTTTAACATGGCTACTGGGCAGATTTGAATTCTATGCATGGCTCTTCCATATTCCCTTGGACAGCGCTGGCCTGGGGCAGACTTCTCAACCTCAGCACTGTTGGCCTGGGGAGTCGAATAATTCTTTGAGTGTGAGGCTGTCTTGTGTGTTGGGGTGTGTTGCACAGTGCCCCTGGCCTCCAGCCACTAGGTGCTCAGAGCATTGAGCTTTTCTGCAAGTGTTGACAGCTGAAGTCTCAAGAGTCTCCAGAACTGTCCCGTTGAGAGCCGATGGGTGGGGAGACAGGAGCCAGTGGGAAACAGCAGTGGGGGTCGGGGTCAAAGCTTAGAGTCGGGCTCCTAGATTGGAATTCAATTCACTAGCTGGAGAGCCTTGGGCATGTCACTCTATGTGCCTCAGTTTCCAAGTCTGTTAAAGAGGATGATGAGGGTACCTGCGCTCAGTGAGAGACCACTGTCATTAGAGGAAGGAGAAGGGGGACTTCAGTCAAAACGTCCAGCTTTGCCAGTCACTCCTTGATGGGTCTTAGGGTGACAAAATCCTATCATCATTCAGACCCTCAACAGGGGAGAGCCGAGATAGGAGGAGTCGCCCAGGAGCCATGGGGAAAATGTGCACATCTCTGTTCCTCAGTTACTTCTGCCAAATGAGAAAACAAATGCCCCCCTTAGAGGTTCACTGTGACCATAAGACAGAGCACGGCCCAGCCCATCACCCATGCGGAGCAGTCACTTTATAAACACGAGCATTCTTTCTTCCTCTAATCAAACTCAGTATGCATGGGGGCGGTGGCTGTGGAGAGCAGGACAGGGACGGTTCGAGCCCCAAGGCACTAGTTCTTGTGGCCGTCTCCTGCCCCACCCCACACCTCGCCTTCACTAGTGCTTTCTGTTTTGTTTCAAGCTGCCCCCGACCTCTTGGCCAGCGCTTGCCCCATCTCTGTGGGCCCCGCCTGGATGATGATTGCTGCTGGTCAGTCCACGCTGGTAGTGGCCAGGGGGAGTCGGTGGGCACGAGCCAGATGGAATACCGCCCTCCCCACACCAGGCCTGAAGGAGCAGCCCCCCTGTAATGTCTGGGCTCCCCACTTCCCCCAGGGCTGGGTCCCAGCCACCTCTGCCATGTTGTCATTTGAGTCTTGGTCCAAGGGAGATGGAAGGAAGGTGCAACCGATGCCCCAGCTGTCCACCTGAAACAGACAGCTGGCAGCCCTGTGGGTCCAGCTGTGAAGGGATCCCTTGGTGAAGTCTACCAGGGTGAGGGGCTGGGATGGAGCCAGGATTGTCCCCACGTGGGCTGAGCCAATCAGTGCTTCCCTGAGACTGGCGAGGAACTGGGGATGTTTTTCTAGAACAGACTACAGGAATCACTGGCCTCTCTTGGCCGTCTCATTGGTGAGTCTGCATGGGGCGGAAGACTGTGATGCGCCACCTTGGGTGGCTGCAAGAACCATGTTCTGTGGGCAGCTTCCTTCTCTGTCCGTGGGCAGAGGCAGACCCTGCTGGCTGCCGAGCTCTGATGACCAGTGGGGTCAGGCCCCCAGCTCTCTCTCCCAATAAAGCTCTAGGGGAGAGCTGAGATAGGACGAGTTGGCCAGGAGCCATGGCATATGGGGAAATGTGCACCTCTCTGAGTTCCTGAAATGAGAATAAGAAAACCATAACCCAAGGGCCAAATCCAGCCTCGTTCTGTACATCTCTGAGCTGAGGATGGTTTTTATTTGTTTCAGTGATTGAAAGAATAAAAAGAGTGATATTTTATGACTTGTGAAAATCATGCAAAGCTCACATTTCAGTGTCCATCAACAAAGTTGCCTTGGAGCACACCCGGGCCCCTCTGTTGACATTACAAAATGCATGGCGACTTTTACACTGTGAGAGCAGAGTTGAGTGTTGAGGACATAGACCAGTTGGCTCACAAGCCTAAAATACTTCCCACCCCGCAGACTGTTCAAAGCCAGACTCAGCAACAACAGCAAGGCCCTGAGCAACTTGGCAAGATCTAGTCTCAAAAAATAAAAAGGGCTGGGGTTGATGCTCAGTGGCTGAGTACAAATATATATGTATTTGAGGGATCTATCTCCAGGGGGTTAATTCAGAAGGTCAAGTGTACAGGATGGGCATGTGGCATTTTGATCCTGGGGATCGCCAATCCGTCTGCACCCGCTTAGCGGAGCAGCTTTCTGGCTCAGGACCATGGACAGCACCCACATGGCCTCCCCCATCCACTGCTCTCTTGCCCTGAGGTGCTGTGCCTCCTCAGTGGAGTCAGGCTCCCTCCTATCTGACCACCAGGAGCTCCCCAGGAGGCCCTCTCTGGGGACTCGAGCCCTCGGCCTTCTCAGAAGCACCCAGGAGGCTCTCCTGCTTCCCCTCAGCGTCCTGTGGGCACAGCTGAATGACAACATGGCGAGGCATGGCCCCCTGTTTAGGTGGTTCTGGTCTCTATTCTCTTCCTCTCTGGCCATCATCTGGGGCAGCTCTGCCGTCTCTTGGGGCCTCCAGGTCTTGGTGGTGGCTTTTATTGGATCAGGGGGCTCGGGGGGCCTCAGTTGGACTGTGATCTGGATCATTCTTTCCCGGTCTCTTTCAGGGCCTTTCCCTTTCTCTGTGCCAGCCTGGAGGGTGCGGGGAGCTGCTCGCTGTGGGGAGGAGGTTTCTGTGGCCTACACAGACTTAACCAGGGCTCTTCCTTTGCCCCTTCTTCTACACCCCACAGTCCCCCAGGATCTGATGGATGTCTCCGTGAACAACCTCCCATCCCTATGGCAACCCAGCCCCCGGAAATCCTCCTGCTCGTCCTGCTCACAGAGTGGTTCAGCTGGTGGCAGCTCAACCAATGGCTGCAACCATGAGAGGTAGGAGGGGCTCGCGCCATGGTGGGGAGAGGCTGAAGGGTTACCCAGAGCTTGGTGGATGCACTGAATCTGGGGGAGGGAACACGAGCTGTGGAATCAACCAGAGCTGGATTAAATGCTGGCCCTGGTGTAGTTCTAGTTGTGGGAAGTCACTCACGTGGTTCAGTCAGGATAAGCAAGATCGAGCCATAGGAACAAATACCCCTGAACCCTGAGTGTAACTTACAGCAAACATTTTATCCTGCATTGTGTGTCCCTCATGGTCGGCCAGGAACTCTGCTCTCTGCATATTAAAGGGCAGCACTGCTGGATGTTGCCAGTCCCAGGTGACAGGCAATGGTAGCTCTGGCGGGCCTTGAATCAACAATAAGTGTCCCACCAAAAATGATTACTTATAATTTCCTCTTCCAACCATTGGCCCCACCCACAGGAAACCAGGAAGTACAGCCCTACCAGGCGCCTGGAAGGAAGAAACCAAAAATATCACTTAAAGACAAATACCTCCTCAGTTTGACCCTCCACAAAATTCTTCCCTTCTATGATTATGAGGAACAAATAGAATAATGTTTTAAGGTGGCCAGCACACAGAACCTGACACGTGGCAGTGTTCAGTAAATGACACTGTTTTCTTATTCCAAGTTAAAGCTCAAGTTCACCTCTGTCCTTACCCACAGAGCTCTTGTCTCTTTGGAACTATTCGGCCATTCATGAGCTTGGTCTAGTTTCCCACTGGCCCCGCTTGGTGTGGCCAGGGAGACTCCCTTCCCCCTGTCCTTGCTGGCCTTCTTCCCTGTGGTGTCCAGTCTTCAGCCCGTCACAGTGTGAGGGAATGGGACTCGAGGGCTGGGGGCCAGCGTCAGATCTTCAAAGCCCCCTCACCCCCGGCTTTCCAGTCTGTGACCAGCAGCCGCACCTGGGCGGATTCTCAGCTTGTTATCCCAAACCCATTGAATCAGAACCTGTATTTAACACCTCTAAGACCACTTGTCGGCATGTAAGGGTTAGAAGCCCTGGATACAACTGGAGAGTCTCAAACTTTAATGTGCCTCAGTCACCTGGGGCGGTAGCAAAACGTACGGATTCTAGGACTTCTTCCTAGAGATCCTGATTGAGGACTCTGCAGGGCCCAGGAATTCACATGTCAGAGAAACCCCAAGTGTCTCGGGCTAGACTGTCACCTCCATGGGGCATTGAGAAATGCCGCTTTCCCCAACACACTCTCTGATAGCATCTGCTTGCATGTCCATAGCGGTGGGGAGCTCACTACCTGCTGTGGGACACTGGTCAGTGTGGTGCTGTTCTCCTACAACCTGACCAAGTCAGCCTCGCCACCCTGAGGGCACAAAGAGGACATTTTCCCAGGTGCATAGCTGGAGATTGAGCTGCGTTTCCTCTCCAGCCTCCCTGGGTTTTTCTGGGTGTTCCCTGGGATGTCCTGAGTACATACACGGCCACAGTTGTGCTCTGTGCTCTGCAGGAGTGTACCGCACTCCTTTGGCGGTTCCTGTGGTTTTCAGCAATGCTGGGAGTGAGGGTTTACTCCCCCCTCACCCAAAACAGCGCCTAGAAGTGACCACGCAAGGGGAAGCCGGGTGGCATCACCTGCTTTGCAGTCATCCCCACTGAATCCCAGTGTAGCTCAGTTTGGGTCACTTGAAGAAAGTGACAGAAACCCTCTTCAAACCGATTGAAGAAGAAAATAAAAGTGTTGGCATAACTAAGAGGTTCAAGGCAAGCGGCCTCAGGCCTGGCCGAGTGCAGGTGCCCACTGCAGGAAGCCCGTCTGCGTCCTCAGGCGTCGCCTCTGCGGGCCTCTATGCTAGTGCCACACTCTGGTGTCAGGCAGACCCTCCCTTCACAATGGCAAAGGTGACCCCCGCAGCCATGAGCATGTATTTTGCTGGCTTAGAAATTAAGACGGGAGATAAAAATACAGCGACTATTTCCAACAACAAACAGTCCCAAGGCTGATTCTCATTGGCCCACGTGACCATCTCTGAGCCAATCACTGTGACTTCAGCCTGGGTCCCGTACTAGGTAGAGTCCTTTGTCCCATCCAGACCACAGGGACAGAGGCTTAGGGGAGAGGTGATACCTCAGAGGAAATCTGGGGTTCTGATAAGAAGGGCGATGCAGCTGTATGGAAATCACAGGAGGCCACTCTTGGGTCCCCTGAGAGAGTGGGTCGTGGTCCTCTTCAGCAAACCTGGGCCACGGGCACCTCATGTGAGCATCTTCCTTCCCCCCGCCCCCCTGCAGGGCTCCTCTGAAGCTGCTCTGTGACAACATGAAGTACCAGATCCTCTCCAGAGCCTTTTATGGATGTACGTATAGCTCTTCATTGCTGGTGTGGTCTCCAAAGAGCATGTATTGAGTGCCTACTGTATGCCAGAAATACCAGGGGACAGAACCTGGCTCTGGAGTTTGAACATCCCTATCCTCTAGATATCTGGTTTCAGGCACAGTTTGCTCATCTACAGATCAGGGATAAATTTTATCTCTGGGTCCTAAGAGAAGGCAGTGGACTGGGGACCCTGGGAGGGGAGGCTGGATCTGGTCACCACTGCATTCTAAGGTCCCACCCGGAGGGTGTGTCCGGATGGAATGAGAAGCGTGTGTAAAGTCTTTGGCCTCTAGTCTTGCATGTTGTAGGTGCTCAGTAGATGTCAGTTTCACTCCACAGCAGAAGAGAAAGGTGACCTGATCCCATCCCCCAAACTTAAAAATTAAAACTAATAACACAAATATTCTGGTTATTCCCATTTATTAGACAAGGCACAGAGAGGCAAAGTGATTTGTCTAGGGTCACACAGTTAACAAGCTTAGTTTTTCTCTCTGTCTTGTTTCTCAGCACATTTTATTTCCCAAACCTCATAGCCTAGCTGGGGGAGATCAAGCATGCATTATTAGGGATTCTAGAGGAGTTTTAATTACACCCTGCATGGGCCTGCATGTTGATGTTGGAAAACAGTTTCTTTGTCAACTAGTTTGGGAAATGTTGAAGTTAAACAATTTTCTGTATTCTTCGGGACTATCCCTGTCACACTCAAGAAATTGAGGCCATGGGAGAGTAAGAGGAACATCCTTCAAATGTATTTGGCCACAGAAACCTGGATGGCTGCCTGGGTGCTCATCATCTCTGAGTGCCCAGGGGACAGGGAGTGGAAGGTCCGCTCGGCTGAGGTTCTTGCCTATCCTGTGGCCACCATCCCCAGTGCCTGATGCAGAGCGTGGCGTGGAGTGGGCGCTGTGCAGGTGTTTATTAGACCCAAGTGCAGGATCTTCCTGGAGGAAGGGCAGGGGTTGAGATGAGTCTGAAACGAGGTGATCATATGACAATATGTCGCATCCTTGATGCCTGTTGAGAGCCCAGATTCAAACGAGGAGGCCTGGGACAAATCCCAACCCTGAACTTCCTGGAGAGATGGGTTAATGTGTAACCAGTGTGTGCCTCAGTTTACCCATCTATAAAATGAGGAAGGTGCCAATACCTGCTTCCTGGGGTCGTGGTGAGAAATAGCTTTGGAAACTCAGGGAACAGCCCCTGGATGTCCGTGCTGTGTAGCATCATGTGCTGTGTGAGTGTTGGACATTCTGTGGCCACCACCATCGTTGTGCCTTCCTGCTGTTGGTGGGGGTGAATCCTCATGCTCTAGAAGGTCAGTTTCTCTCTGGGAATTGGTGATGAGCTGCTGGACAGAGCCAGGAGGAAGGGACACCGTCAGCAAAGGGCATGAGCTAGGGGCTGGGGCTAGTGCTCAGTTAGTAGAGTGCTTGCCTTGCATGCACAGGGCCCTGGGTTCAATCCCCAGCACCAAAAAAAAAAAAAAAAAAAAGAAGGGCATGAGCTGGCATTTGCCAGGAACTTCTTGGATTCCAGGCACCCTCGGGGGCCCAGATTACAGCAGACAAGGGGTGGCAAACATACCTTTAAGGTGACAGGTCCATCCTGGAAAGCAAACTGGGTGCCCTCAGCATCTCCAGGTCACTGACTTGCTGGGACTTTCTTTGTCCAGCTGTAGTCTGAGCAGGAGTCTGTCATTCTCTCTATCTGTAAGGATTGGAGACAGAGGCACAGTGAGTGCGAGGGGTCCCTGGCCCTCTTCCTTCCCGATCCTTCCCTGCCTGCAGCCTGTCAGTTAAATGCATTGGATTCCAACCCAGTAGGCTAGCATCACCCTGACTGAGGCTGAGAAAGGCGACAGAACTTCCCTAGGGCTGAGCAGTCAAGCCACCAAGTGACATCACCCCTCTGGGCTTCACTTTCCTTTTGTGGGAAAGCGGGTGATGAGAATTTGCAGGACATCGAGGTTCAATTAGCTGGGGAGAGAGACACCACCTTGAAGACTCCATGAGCCAGCCGGGGGCACCGAATGGCAGAGGGTGACACGTCCCTTCCCTCTGCAATAGGGCTCGCCTACTGCAGACACCTGTCCACCGTGAGGACCCACCTGTCAGCCCTGGTCAATCACATGATCGTGTCTCCGGACTTGCCCTGTGATGCTGGCCAGGGGCTGACAGCCAGGATCTGGGAGCAGTACCTTCAGGACAGCACGGTAAGCCTTGGAGGGGAGTGGGCCACCATGGGGCAGACTGCGGGGAAGGCTGTTCTGTGGGGACTAGAGTTCACCTGCCTGAGTTCTCTACATGCACACTGAAGGTCAGCTCTTCTCGAGAATTTCAAGATGCCCAGCTCTCTTCTATCCTTGCAGGGTGGAGATTGAAGGACGTATACAGGTTGAGCATCGCTGATCTGAAAATCCAAAATTACCTGGGCATTGACATGACACCCCAGTGGAGAATCCCACACCTGACCTCATATGACAGGTCCCAGTCCCAACGCAGCTGCACTAAAATACTGCATGTCATTACCTTCAAACGATTTCTTGTTTGGACTCAGACCACATCCCCAAGATATCTCATAATGTAGATGCAAGTATTCCAAAATTTTAGAAAACCCAAAATCTGAACACTTATGGTCAGAAACATTTCAGATAAGGGTACTTAACCCTAAGCCTCCCCAGAGGGATGAAGAGGGAATGAGTGGCAAACTGTAAATGATACAGCATCGTGTGTGCTCCGTCCTGCACACAGTGCTGACTGGATCCAGCTGCCAGGAGTTTACGGTGCTGTTCAAGCTCCTAGAATGAGAGCAGCTCCTCGGGAGGCAGGCCCCAGACCTCTCCCACCACGGCTCAGAACTCTCCCATCCCCGTCTGTGGCCTAGGTTCTAGGATTAGGCAGTTCCCCTTCAGAGGCTCGTTGCTTGGATGCTTTCTAAGATTTCCTGATTGCAGTAAAAGTGGAAGGAAAATGTTGATGTGTGAAAAAAGCTTCTTTGTCAGCTAGTTTGGGAAACACTGAAGTTAAACAGTTTTCTGTATGTCTTGGGACTTCTCCAAACCTTGCACCTGCTAATGTCCTGGTCAACTCAGAGGCGCAAGGGAGAGTAAGAGGAACATTCCCTCACATGTATTTGGCCACAGAAGCCTGGTTGGAAAATTGCCTCCCACGGCTAGTGGGAGATGGAACCCACTCTGAGAAGCTCTAGTTTGGGCCAAGAACAGGATCTTGGAGGAGGCGCCTGTCCCCATGCTGGGTGGATCCAGTGCCCTATTGGCTGTGTGCCTTCCCACCAGGTGCTGGGGAGGACCTAGCTGGTGCACCCTGGGCTGGGCTAAGTGGGAAAGACCAGCTGGTTCCCGAGCCCAGACTAACAGAAAGGTGGTTTTGCTTTTTGCCAAAGATACTTGTTTTTTAAATTATAGGAGTAACGTCCATGTACTGTAAGAATTCAAACAATGAACACAGGAGTATAAAAGTTTAAAAGAAATTTAAATATCCTCTTTCTGCTTCATTCTTCTAGTTCCAATCCCTGGAATGAATGGCCTCAATTTGGTGTAAATGTTCCATATATTTTCTATATTTATCCATAAGAATATCTTTATATCTTATCCATATTTCTATAACTATTGATATAAAGCCATACATATCTTTATAGCTTGTCTATATTTCTATATCTACATGTCTTTGGTATATATGACACATGTATACCTTATCTGTATTTTCATATCTATATCTGTAGATACAAATCTATGTATCTATAGATATGTAGAGATAGAGATTTTTGTGTATTTCTATATCTGCCTACATATTTATATATAAGCTATATATCTTTAAATCATATTGATCTATCATTTTGTTTAGATTTATATGTAGATAGGTAAGAATACATATATATCCAACATATAGATAGAAATCTTTACCTCTATCTATAAGACATCTATCTTACTTTTATTTTATTTTTATGTGGTTCTGACCCTGCGCATGCCAGACGAGTGTGCTACCACTTGAGCCACATCCCCAGCCCGACTTATTTTCTTAATGATATAGTACCTAAATTGTATTTCAGATAACCAAATTGCTTTCATATCAAGGGACTTTCAAATCTCTGGGTGAAATATTGAATGTTAGAACTTAGCAGCTTATTATGTGGGTGGGCCATAATTTATTCAAATCTTCCCCTGATGACAGATAGCTGGGTTCTGTTTTTTTTAACAAAAATTATTTTAAACAGTATTTCAATCAACATCTTTATAGCTTTCTGTACTAGTGCTTTTATTTCAAATGATTCCTAGAAGTAAATTGATTGATATGTGTTTAAAATTGAAATCAGGAAGCCCGCCTACTGCCCCAAGCATTCCATAGCAATCATCATCCCCAGCAGTTTCTGAGTGTCCGTGTTTCCTGAGGAATGTAAAAGATTTGTGATTCCTGGGCTCCATTCCAGCTGTACTGATTTAGCTCCTCCAGCCCTGGACTCTGTGTTGAGAGTTCCCCGGTGCTCTGGTACTCTGGTGACCCTACAGTTGGGGAGCCACCAGTCTAAGGACAAGCTGAGTGAGATCAAAATGGATCAGCAGCGGGCATGTCTCACCTCACACCTTTCTGGACCTGCTTGGTCGTGACTCACCTTTAGCTGTGTTGGGCATTAGGGTGGACTCATGCCCAGGATGGAGCAGGCCCCACTCTTTCAGTTGCCTGGCACCAGGCTCTGACTTCTTGCTGACTTAAGAGCCTGAGTGGGCACTTCCGGTGAAGGGCATCTCTCTTCCCCCAGGGGTTCAGGCTCCTTCAGTCTGTGCTCCCACCGCTCTCAGGGCCTCATGGTCATCTGCCTCCAGCAGACGGGGAAACAGAATGGAGGGAACCCACCTGCTTCCTCTGGCCTTGGCCTAGGAAGGGCTTCCCTCCCATCCTCTCCCGTCTCACTGGCCAGATCCTGCCCGTGTGGCCCCTCGCTCCTAACTGCAAGGGAAGCTACGGAGTGGAGTCTGGTGGTTGATCCAAAGAGGCAGTGGGTGTTTGATGAAGAGGTCAGAGCCTCAGTTGCAAATCATTTTCTGATTTTTAAACAGCTTTGACAAGGACAGCTACATTATATAAATTAAAATTCCCAAAAAGGACTGAAAGAGTGGCTGTTTTTTTCATTGTTGTTGGGTACACCCAAGACTAGCCTTCCCACGAGAAATATGTTTTTGATTTTGGAATATGAAATAAAGAGCTGAGAGGAGGTGGCCTTGGGGCCCTTCTGTGCAACCTCCTGCAGCCAGGGACCGCTCCCTTCCACAGGCACAAGTGCATTTGGGGTCTGCCGGCCCCTCAGCTCAACAAATGGTCACTGTGAAGCCTTTGTATAGAAGTAATTATTTCTTAACTGAAAAAAATCAACTCCACACAATGCAGCAAACAATTGCTAAGGTCATTCTAGCGTGCACAGGAGTCAGTACTGTGTGAAGTGGCAACTGGAAATGTTTCTTCTAGATTAATTCACTGCCAAGTTTACTTAGAGCCGAGTCAAGACTGATAACTGTAAGATCATCTTTCCAAATATACACAATAGCAAACATTGGCTGAAAAGTAAATCTAATGTGCATTCATCATAAGCTGATTACCATACAGTAATATATAATGAACATACAATACATCATTGATATTCATTTTTCTTTTCACAAAGATCCTAGTCATGTTCCAGTCGTCCTAGACATGTTCTGTATTGTGCTTTTGATCCCCACTTAATATACATTGAACCTTGCGCGTGGCTTCCCTCCACACTGCCTACTTCCCCTTCTGCTGAATCAGACAACCGGGAGGCCCTGGATAATGGTGGGAGCTCAGACCAAGCCCCTTGGGGAGGAGAGATGCCCTTCACCAGAAGTGCCCACCCAGGGCTGTTAAGCCAGCAAGAAATCGACCCCATGGTATCAAGCCTCACAAACGCACCTCTGGTCCTCTTCAATCTCTGTGTGGTCCCCATGTAGGGATGCATGGTCCCCATTGGTGGGCAGCAGGGAGTTGCCTACGTTTGGCTCTTTCCTAGGATGCCACAGTTGATATTCAGGAACTTGTCGCTTTGCTCGTGCACACAGGACCTCTGGGGCTGGCTCCAAGAAGCAGGACAGCCGAGCCTCGGAGCCCACCCGCTGGTGGGCTGTTGACCAGACCCTCTGCTTCCTCCCATCCCAGAGTTACGAGGAGCAGGAGCTGCTGCGGCTCATCTACTATGGAGGCATCCAGCCCGAGATCCGCAAGGCCGTGTGGCCCTTCCTCCTGGGCCACTATCAGTTCGGGATGACAGAAACAGACAGGAAGGAGGTGGGTTACCCCATGTAGGCTGCACAGCGGGGTCTTCTGCCACAAAACGAGCTGGATGCTGTGGCCTGGGGAGCTCTGCTTCCATGTTGAACCAAGGCAGGGAGATACGGGGGAGACCTCAGGTTCATGGCTTCCCCATATTTCCTGTCCAGTGGAAGCAACACAAGCTGCAAATGTCAATTTTTAAATAAACCTTTTATTTTGAGATCTTTATGCATTAATATGCAGTTGTAAGAAATAAAGCAGAGACCTTGTATATCCTCTACCCAGGTCCCTGCCATGGGAACAGCTAGCAACACTGACATGGTGCTCCAGCGTCCCCAGGGCCTCGGCACTGGGGGACACGCCTGCCGTGCTGGGGCTACTCAGTCTCCCCTGCCCTCGTGTTGGTGCTGAGGGTGTGTTTATTTAGTTCTCCTTGGTTTTCTCACAAGTGAGATTCGTGCTCGCCATCACAGTGGACATAACAGAACACGTCCCTGGCCTCTGGTGGCCGCTCACCTGTTCTTCGATGCTGTAATTTTCTGGGTTCCAGGTGTTAGACCAGTGGAATCACAAGTATGTGACCTCTGGGGTTTGACTGTTCTCATTCAGCCAAGCCTCTGGAGACTCCTCCTCGTCTCTGTGTCAATGGTTGAATCCTTTTCCTGGCTGAGCAGAATTCCCCGGTCTGGGGGACCACGAGCTCTTCGCCTGTCTGCAGGGAGCTCTGTTGCTACCATTTTCTTGGAGATGTGAACAAAGCTGCAGTGGACATTGGGGCACAGGTTTCTGTGTGAGCATGAGCTGTCATTGTCCTGGGATAGATGCTCAACAGGATGACCTGAGGGGTCCGAGGGTAGCTGCAGGTTTAGACTTTGCTGTGGCCGGGCCACTTTACAATCCCCACCAGCCATCGGAGCTGCCCCACCTACATTTTCACCAGTTTGGTGGTGTCCCCATTTTTTATTTTAACTACTCTGACAGGTGTGTAAATGACATTGCATTTGGTTTTAGTTGCATTTCTCAAAGGGCCGTGAGGCTGAACATCTGTGTGCCCGTCAGCCACCCTGGGTCTCTCTCAGGAGGTGTCTGCTCGAGTCTTTTGCCCCCTTTGAACCGGATTGTCTGGGTTTTGGCTGCTGAATTAGGAGTTCTTTAGGAACGCTACATGATGGTCCTTCGTAGGATAAGTGGTTTATAAATGCTCTCTCCCAGGCTGCACCTTCCTTTTTATTTTCTTAAACAGGGTCTTTTGCCAAACACATTTGAATTTTTTTATTTGTTTCTATTTTTGGTGCTGGGGATGGACCCAGGGCCTCACCCTGCTAGATAAGCGCTCCACCACGGAGCCGCACCCGAGCCCCTCTCGGTATTCTTGATGGAAGTCCAGTTTCCCCATTTTTCCTTTTACAGATTGTGCGTTGGGGTTAGAGCAGAAGAATTTTTTTTGACCAACCCTAGTTCCCAAAGCTCTTCTATGCTTTTTGCTTTTTTCTTTTTTCAACCAAGAGATTTTATTGGGGGGCTACCCGAAGGGGAAGAAAAGGAGAGGCCGAGAGAGGGGAGGAGGAGGTCAGAGGAAGAGCATGTGAGCAGAGAGAGGAGAGAAAGAAGAGGAAGAGGGCAGAGAGCCTTCTATGCTTTTTTCTAAAAGATTTATGGTTTGACATTTTATTTTTAAGTCTGATCCATTTCAAGTCTGGCTTTACATGTAATATGTCATTTGGGTTGAGGGTGGGTTTTGGCTCTGAGTGTCCAGTGGCTCTGTCACCTTGTGTTGCCACGGTCAGCTTCCTCCACGGACTGGCTCGGCACCTTGTCAAGTCGGCTGGCCTCTCCACAGTGTCTATTTCTGGTCCTCTGTTCTGTCCTGTTGATCTGTGTGTGTCCTTCCAGGACTACAGTGACTTGATGATGGTGGCAGATTGTTGGAAATACCTTAGTAGTCACATATTAAAAAGGAAAAAGATAAAGGCAAGTAAGATGTTTAAATTTGTATTGTAAAGTGATTATAAGGTCACAGGTGGTTGCAGAAATAACACAGGGATTTTTTTAATCAGCTTTTTCATTGTGACCAAAAGACCTGATAGGAACAACACAGAGGAGAAAAGGCTTATTTTGACTCACAGTCTCAGGGGTCTTCGTCTACAGAGGTTGAGTCCGCAGCTCTGGGCCTGAGGCGAGGCAGAAGGTCATGGCGGAAGGGCGTGGTGAGGGAAGACAACTCAGGACATGGCAACAGAGTGGAGAGAGACCGCCACTTACCAGGGACAAAATGTGTACTCCAAAGGCTCAGCCCAGTGACCCCCCTCCTGCCGCCACACCCTGAGGATACGGCCCAGTTGATCCATATCCACAACCTTCATCATCTAATTGTTTCAGCTCTGCAAATTGTTGCATTGCCTCACGCATGAGCTGTTGGGGGACACTCATACCTAAACTGTAACAGGAATCTTGTGTCCCCATCATACAGTTTTCACCACTTTCCTTCTTGTATAATAGAATGTTAGCAAAGACACTGGCTCAGTACAACTAGCCAGACCCCAGGCCTCGCTGGGATCTCACCAGTATTTATATTTGTGTGTGTGTGTGTGTGTGTGTGTGTGTGTATGTGTGTTTCTGTGATATTTCATCAAAGTGAAAAATATATTTTATTATTAAGTCCAATGTACCAACATATTACCATCTTAACATGTATTTTATGTTCTCTAAGTTTTCAAAACCTGTTGGTGCTTTACGCCCCCCGTCTGTCACCACCTGTACCATTATTGACTGACATTTGTCTTTTGAAAATGAACTCCCTTAACATTCATGTAACTTATTTCAGAAGATCCCTGCCATCCATAGGAAACCAATGTGACTTGCTCTAAAATGGAAGGAAACTGTACAAATAAGTAGAATAAGACAGAATGGTGTCCTCAGTGTACCCAGATGCCTCGCCTGCGTGGGCCTTCCCTCTCCTTGTGCAGAAGAGAGTGGAGGGGAGGAGCTCTAGGGGTCCCATCACAGATGACAGATGCTTAGGGAGAAGGAAATGCCGGTGACCCTGATCCGATCATAGGTGTAGACATAGACATTGAATTGTCACACCATACCCATCACTGTACACGAATGCTATATGTCCAGTAATAGTGACTTCTTAAGAAGGGCAGTCACAGTGTTGAGGAAGTAGTGACGACCCAGTGGTACCAGGCTGGCCTGATGGAGGAATCGGAGGAGCGTTAAGAGAGGAGACTTCCTGTGGTCCGTATCATGAGGACCCACCCAGTGGACTGACCAGAGTCACCTCAGTCACCTAGTCACCTCGGTCACCTAGTGTGAGCTCCGCTCAGAGGAACTGGGACTCTGGGGTGCTGGGCCTGTGCTCAGGGCTGAGGAACCAGAGGGGCACTAGGTAAGCTCTTAAGGTGTTATCGGGGTGGCCGTGGTCACTGATATGACAGAAGCCAACTCTAGGGCTGAAAGAGCCCAGAGGTGGCACTTAAGCCAGGCAGGAGAGAGCGGCAGGTGGAAGGAGACCCCTGGGGGAGCCCGTGGAACCCAAGTCCTTCAAAGGAATTGCTTTCTAGGCAAGAGGATGAGGAGGGGCTTTCAGGAAGAGGGGACAACAGAGCAAAGGCCTGGAAGGGGCCAACGTGCCGGGGTGGGGGGGGGGGGGGGGGGGGGGGGTGGGAGCTGCTAGAACATGAAGGGCTAGGGGTGGGGGCCAGTGCGGAAGCTGGGGTGGAGAGGAAATGAGGATGGAGGCTGCTGAGTGGTGCACGGAGAGAAGGGACCAGCTGGACAGGAAGGGACCTGAGAGGAGGGTTCTGGGTCATGAGTGAGGAGGAGCCTGGCCTGGGGTGGAGCTGGAACTGGGAGGTGGGTGGGTCTGGAGAAGTCCTAGGGAGGGAGGTAGAAGCCTAGGCCCTCGGGCTAGGAGGGCTGGAGCCCCTGTCTGAGTGGCCACAGGGGACAGCCCCTGCACCTGTCCCCTGCACACCCTGTGCGGGCGGGCTGTCTGCCACATCATGCCCAGATGTCTGGTAGACTCAGAACCCTGGTCACCTGGGCTGTGTAACCCAGGACAGTGGAAGTCCCCCTACCTGCTGACGTCCCACAGGGAATGGCTTGAAATCTGTGCCCCTTCCATCAGGCACTGGCTATAGGGAAGGGAAGCGAGTTGGTTTTTCTCATCTTTGTATCCCGGCTCCTGGGCCCATGTTGGACAGGCAGGAAGCTCTCAGCAAACTGCAGAGTGAGTGGGTAGATGGGTGGGTGGGGGTTAGGATCCTGCTCATCTTGTATTCCACATGCCTAACTAGGTGCCTGGCGCACAGTAGGTACTTTCAAATTAAATGAATGAGTAAGCAAAGGGATGCAGAAACAGAGAAGCATGGTAGTAAAATAAGGAAAGAAACAATCTTCTCCCTCTGTTACCTCCAGAGCTGGAGACTGTCCAGCACACAGTGGGGCAGAAAGAAGGGAGGGGAGGAAGGAGCCTCGCACACTGGTGTATTCTCAGGTCTGGCCAGTGCCAGGCATCTCCTAGTAGGTGCTCAGTTAATGGAGGCTCCCTGTAGGACCTTTGGGCTGAGTCTGCCCTGGGCCCAGCCCCAGCACCCTGTCTCACCTTGATCCACCTCGGCAGGTGGATGAGCAGATCCATGCCTGCTACGCACAGACCATGTCGGAGTGGCTGGGATGTGAGGCCATCGTGCGGCAGAGGGAGCGGGAGTCCCACGCAGCCGCGCTGGCCAAATGCTCATCGGGGGCCAGCCTGGACAGCCACCTGCACCGGATGATGCACAGGGACTCCACCATCAGCAATGAGGTGAAGGACAGCTGGCCGGGGGTGCCAGAGGGGAGGGGAGGGGAGGCAGGATGAGAGAGGGGCAAGGGTGGCATATCCTAGGACACCCTTAACTGCTTTTTATTTTTTTGAGGGGGTGACTTTGGAACCATACCTGAGTTCAAATTCCAACATCAGCCCTGGGGTGTCCTGCATGACCTTTCCTCCTGGCCTTCATTTCTGTATCTAAACAGAATAATCAGTCATACAGAGGTCTGTGTACAGCTCCAGCAGGACAGTGCGGGTTTGGGCTGGGTCGGGGCTCAGTGACAGGGCGCTTGCCTGGCATGTGTGAGGCACTGGGTTTGACTCTCAGCAGCGCATATAAATAAATGAATAAAATAAAGGTCCAGGGGCTGGGGTTGGGGCTCAGTGGTAGAGCGCCTGCCTCGCACATGTGCAGCCTTGGGTTCCATCCTCAGCACCACCTAAAAATAAATAAATAAATAAAAGTATTGTGTCCAACTACAACTAAGCAATAAATATTTTTAAAAAATTAAAAAATAAAGGTCCATCAACATCTAAAAAAAAAAAAACAAAGGCATGCATATCAAATGACTCGCACAGTGCCTGACTTCTGACTTCCATGTATTCAGCAAGTGCTTATCAAGTACCTACTGTGTGCCAGGTACTCTCAGGAATGTCCTGGAATGTCCAGAATGTCCCAGTAGCCAAGGCGGACATGTCACCCTTACATAACCACCAGCTGAACAGGTCAAAGCAGGAAAAAAGTGCTGTCCTCACCAGTGATGTGCCCTTCCTGCGGCCACAGAGCTGGCCTAACAACCAGCCACCCAAACCCAGTGACTTCAGCCACCAGCATGGACCTCGTTAGCTTTGCTCACTAGTCCACAGGTCAGCCCAGCAGCTCGGCTCTGAGCATGCCTGGGTGGGGCTCCAGCAGGCTAGCTTTCCTAACCAGGGACAGCCAGGGACCAAGCCTCCTGGCTCCAGCCCAGCAGTCCCCCCGAGCCTCATCTGCTCTTCTGACGCCCCTTTCCTCTCAGTCTTCCCAGAGCTGCAGTTCCGGCCGCCAGAACATCCGCCTGCAGAGCGACTCCAGCAGCAGCACACAGGTGACCTTCCAGAGGCCCTGCCCCCTCCCGCCCACACCCCGCCATGTCCCCCAGGGTAGCGGGCATTGGATGGCCACCATCTACGGGTCCCTCTTTGGTTTGTGTTTTAGCATTTTTATGTGTGTGTGTGTGTGTGTGTGTGTGTGCGCGCGCGCGCGCGCGCGCACGCGTGCATTTTTGTTTTATTAGTCCTCCATGACGGTAAATGTACTCTGACATATCATACATACATGGAGTATAGAACACTGAATCCCACCTCTCTCGATATTTTCTTTAATATTATTATTATTCTCACTCTTCTGGTCATACATGACGTAGAGTAACCCTGGTCGTGTGATCATATGTGCATATAGGATAGTAATGTCCGACTCATGCCACCGTCTTCCCCACTCCCCTCCCCTCCCTTCATTCCCCTGGGTCTAATCCAACGGACTTCTATTCTTCCCTGTTGTGTTTTAGCTTTTTATTCTAGCATTCAAAATGCACCTTTTAGCGACACAACTAATACAGTTGTCCCTTGGTATTCAGGGGACTTGTTTGAGGAGCCCCCATGAATACCAAACTCCAGGGATGTGCAGATCCTATGTAAAATGGTGCAGTATTTGCACACAACCTTTGCACAGCCTTCTGTATACTCGAGATGACTTAGAGTCCCCAACACAATGTAAATGCTATTGAAATACTAGCTATATTGAATTTTTTAGGGATAATGACAAGGAATTATTCACATACAAAGAATTATACACACATCCAGCACATATGCGGTCTTTTTTTTTTCCCCCAAATATTCTCAATATGCAGCTGGTTGAATCTGTGGATGTGGAATCTGGGGATAATGGGAGACCGACTCCATATGAATCCATTCTCCAGGCAGAACATTAAAACACTGCAGAGAAAGCCAAACTTGCTTCTGTCTTCCATCATCCCCCTGCCTGCCTTGAAAATAACCATCAACAGCCCACTGTGCTCTTCACAACTGAAATATGCAGATAACATGTAGCAGCATTTGGTAGTTTTTAAATTTTTCTACCTAAATGCGATTGTATATATTCCTTGTTGACTTTCCGTTAAACTAGATGAAAACACTTGATTCTATCTCTCTCAATATTAAAGAAAAAGCAAGTTGCAAAGAAAGGTACAGAGGCTGACAACTTTTGTGTAGAAGGGGAAATGTGGATACATGTATGCAATCACATTCATTTTCAAATACAGTGGAAAGAGAAACCAGAACTACCCAAAGTGCTTACCCAGGAGAGAGGAGTGGGAGGGGGGGGAGCTGTGAGTCCCTGAGGTTGGTTTTCTCATTTTGACTTTGGAATCAAAAAGTTCTAATTTTGACTCTGGGGTTAGATAAACTTTTATACACTGAATGAAAAAGAAATTTAAAAAAAAACTAAGCAACATACAGAATTAACCATAAATCAAGTCATTAGAGAGAAGAAATACTGCAAATGACTTTGGAATGTGGTCTGTGGTCTTTTACTGTCTGTCCTTAGGCCATAAAGACAAAGAATCACCAATACGTCTTTAAAATGAATTCCACAGATAATTTCATGTGATATGTTTTTTAGCCTGTTCCTGACATTCACTAATTGTTTAGTTTTTTAAAAAGCTCATGGTGAGCCAGGCACAATGGCACACACCTATTTATATCTCACCGTCTCCAGCAGCTGAGGCAGGAGGATTGCAAGTTCAAAACCTGCCTCGGCAACTAAGAGAGGCCCTATGCAACTCAGAGAGACCCCGTCTCTAAATAAAATATATAAAAAATAGCTGGGGACGTGGCTCAGTAGTTAAGCACCCCTGAGTTCAATTCCCAGTACAAAAAAAAGAAAAAAAGAATTCATGGTGAAAGTCTATATGATGCATTACAGTTCCCTGGTAGCCCTCTTCAGAGGGCTGTAATGCTTTCTTGTTATTTCTGAATTATTCATGCATATATAAGCGCGTATCACTTACTTGTTACAAATGGAGCACAAAATACACTTTTCCCGCTGTATAGTATTCCAGTGCATGCAAATTCCATCCTGAAACCAATCCCCAGTTGTTGAGTATCAGATTGCTGCTGGACAGTGTCGCCATGGACACCCAGCTGTCCTGTTCACCTCTGTCCCTGTTCACCTTCTGCTCAGGTGTTTGAGTCCGTGGATGAGGCAGAGCAGGTGGAAGGAGAAGGCCGACTGGAGGAGAAACAACCCAAGGTCCACAACGGGAACCTAGAAAACGGCCCGTGCTCCCCAGACTCTGGCCATCCATCTTCCCACAACTTTTCCTCTGGCCTCTCGGAGCACTCGGAGCCCAGCCTCAGCACCGAAGACAGCGTCCTGGACGCCCAGCGGAGCGCGCCCCCGGCCCTTCCACCTGGGGACAGCAGCGTGGACGACGGGCAGAGCAGCGAGGCCACCACCTCAAGGGACGAGGCCCCTCGCGAGGAGCTGGCAGTGCAGGACCGATTGGAGAGCGACAGCCTGGCCAATGGGAGCCTGGACGAGTTCATGTCCATCGCCGGCAGCATGGACGTGGCCCTGCCCGAGAAGGACGGTGCGGCAGGGGAGGGCTGGCGGGGCTGCGAGGCCGAGAAGCGCAGCCAGGCGGACAGCGAGGACAACCTCTCGGAGGAGCCCGAGATGGAGAGCCTCTTCCCCGCCCTGGCTTCCCTGGTCGTGACCACTTCTGCCAACAATGAGGCGTCCCCCGTGTCGTCCAGCGGCGTCACCTACTCCGTAAGTCACCAGGACTCTCCTCCATCCCGCTGCAGGGGTGGGGCAGAGAGACCCAGCCCTAGAGCTGCGGCTGCTTGGTTTCCTTTCCCCGTCACCGTCAGCGGGATTCACTGCACACACCCGGGTTGGGAGAGAGGAGCATCCCTAATCTAAAAACCCAGACTCCAAAGTGCCCAAGCTCAGTGGCCAGAACCTGTTATTCCAGCTGCTTGGGAGGCTGAGGCAGGAGGATCCCTGAGCCCATGAGCTGGAGGCCATCCTGGGGAGCAGAGCAAGACCCTCTCTTCAAAAACAAAACAGAATCTATTCAGCAGAGGACTCCATACCCCAAACCCAGTTACCAACTTAATCCAACAAACAGAAAACTCCACATCTGGGATGGGCTGCAGTCAGAAGGCACAGAGTTATTCAAAATACTGTAGAAAATTACCTTCGGGGCAGAGGGAGAGGTGCACATGAAGCATAAGTGGATTCATGTGTAGACACAGGTCCTGTCCCACCATATCTCATCAGGTACAGATATAGACATAGATATAGATGTGTCCCCAAAGCCTAAGCATCCCCAAACACCCCTGGTCCAGAGATTTCAGCCAGGGGATGCCCCACCATGGGGGACTGGGGGTCACAGGCTTCACAGTGGGCACTCCCAGGCTCAGACCCCAGCTTTAGCAAATCCCTTGAGCGCTCCTGCGCCTCGGTCTCCCTATCTGCCTGGCACCTTCTTGAGTTATTTTCAGTTCATACTCTGAAGTCCTGGGTGTGTGGCACACAGTGAGCACATCCACAGCAGCTCCACAGTCACCTTCATGCTTTTGACTAAGGTCTGACATCCTTTAAATGTGCCAATAAATCCAGGCCAGAAGACATCATCTGAAAGGAAGATGTTCCAAGCCACCCCTGGTGTACACATTTCTTTAAAAGATTTTTTTTTTCCTATTAAAGATGTGCAAGCCCATAATTTAAAGGGTCAAACATCTGGACGAAGCTAACTATGAAAACCATATGTTGGGCTGGGCTCAGTGGTGCACCTGTAGTCCCAGTTGCTCGGGAGGCTGAGGCAGGAGGATCACTCCAGCCTATGAGTTGGAGACCAGCCTGCGCAACGTAGGGAGACCCTGCCTCTTAAAAAAGGAAAGAAAAGAAAAAAAGAAAGGAAGAAAAAGAACAGAACCATGAGCTCGCCCCTCCTCCCCATCAGTCCTCCCCAGGGCGACCATCTTACTTATTGTGCCCTGATGTCTGATTCCACCCCATAGCTCAAACACACTTGTATTATTGCTGTTCGATCTTTTTTTCCCCCAGTTTTAGACATTATCAGTGACCCCCATTATGGAAGCAGATTTTTGGCTCCCACGTCCTTCTCCACCCCAGACCTGTCACTTCACAAGGGACACTAGCCACACCCATCTTTCCAGCACAGCTACGTAATGATCTTGGTTAAATGGTCACTCAGGTTCACAGGATCCTAGGTGTCTCCTCTGGGCCATGAAGTCAGCTGTGTTGACTTTTTTTGCAGAAGAAAAAAAATGTCCTGGATGTGTCTTCACTTGTTTGCTTCCTTTCCTTAGTTTCTTAAATATTTATCACCAATTCACTGCCCCAAATCCTTGCCAGGTTTCTGGATCCCTCCAACATTCAGACTCGGCAGGCTTTGTGTGTGTTCTGTGTGTCTGGAGAGTTCAGCCTGTACCTGAGGCAGGTGTGTCCCCAACCTTCCTCCTGCCCCTGCTCCAGGTCCCTTCCACCTCACTCCAGCCTCTGGCCCCCAGTTTCCCTTCTTCTAACTTGACACCCTTGTTTGGGTGGGGCTCATGCCTCAGTGGTTGTCCCCCATTTGGCTTTTCTTGCCTTCTTATGTGGCGGGCCCCTGGCCTGGGGTCCCCATCTCCGTGTGAAGTGCTTTCCTGAGCAGATGGGCCTCCGTTCATCTGGAGTGAGGCTCATGTGGCCCTCGGTCTTGAAGATATTTGTACTGAATATGCGACTCCAGATCGCAGTGATTTTTCCTCAGTACAGATGGTCCTCAATTTAGGATGGTTTGATTTATGACTTTTGAAGCTCACAATGGATTTTTTTCCTGGGCTAGTAGTATGTAGTATGATCTTTTCTCTTGATTGCTGGACAGCGGCAGTGACCACAGCTGGCAGTCAGCAGCACCATCATAAGGACAAAACACCCCCATACTGCAGAGCGCACTGTGCAGTGAAGCCCTGCAGCGCTCCTTATGACACAGGGGTCAGGCCTCAGCCTCATCCTAAGTCAGGACACCTCTGGGCTTTGAAGACACTGTTGCACTTTCTTCCAGTTGCCTTCGCTACTGTTAGCAAGTCAGGGAGCTGACTGTCATCTCTGCAAAGACAACCTCCGTCCTTCTCTAAGATTCTCTTTCAATGTGTTGTCACTGTGTGCCATTATGTGACTAAGTGTAGCTGTCTTTTTCTATTTCCCAGCCAGAGTCTGTGTATGCATCTGTGAATTGATGTCTTTAGTTAGTTCTGGAAAATTCTCCTCTAGTATTCATTCGGCTGTTGTTCCCCGTTTTCTGTCTCGTCTGTAGCCTTTGGACCTCCTCACACTCTCCTCTGTGTCTGTTACTGCTCTTTCATTTGACCCTTCTCTGTCTCTCTGCTGAATCCTGGACCTTCTTCAGATCTCTTTTGAATTTACTGATTCTCTTCCAGAGTGTTGGGCTGGGGCTGGGGCTCAGCGGTAGAGCACTCACCTAGCACATGTGAGGCCCTGGGTCCAATCCTCAGCACTACATAAAAAACTAAATAAATAAAATAAATGTATAAAAAATGATAATTATTTACTACTTATTTAAAAACAAAATAAAAGAGTGTCAGATTTTCAGTTAAAGCTGTAGCTCAGGATTATGTACTCCTACAATCCCAGCGGCTTGCAAGGCTGAGGCAGGAGGATCATGACTTCAAAGCCGGCCTCAGCAACCTAGCAAGGCACAAAGCAACTCAGCGACCCTGTCTCAAAATAAAAAATAAGGTCTAGGGATGTGGCTCAGTGGTTAAGGGCCTCTGGGTTCAATCCCTGGTACAAAAAAAAAAAAAGATGCAGCTTAGTGGTAGAGCCCTTGCCTAGCATGCACAAGGCCCTGGGTTTGAGCCCCAGGAACGAACACACACACACAGACACACAGTCTAATTTTCTGTTACATGTCTCTAATGAGTGTTTAATGTTTTTTTAAAGTTTCACTTGAATTTTTTCATATATGCTGTGACTGTTTGATTATTTTATAGAGTTGCTATTTCTTTGACCTCTTATTTCTTTAAATATATTAAAAACTTATTTTATCCTCTGTCCCTGATGCTTCCAGTAACAGAGGCTCTTTTGGTTCTAATTCTGCCATCTTGTGTTCATGCCAGCTGTTATTTGGGGTCCTCTTTCTCTGAGCATCTTGTGGTGTTTGAACATACGCTAGTATTTCATGGAGTGTTATCTGTTGAGGCCTAGGTGAAAGGTTGATTCCTTCCTTTGCCTCATCCCAGTCCCAGAGGCCTAACAAATCTGAGATAACTTTAAATTCTCCAGTCTTTCAGACCACCCAGGCAGTGGGAATTGGGTTAGAAACCTGCATGAGTTATAAACTTGATTTGGGGCTTAATTATCCAGGGAGATAGCTTTTACACTGAATTTGGCATCTGTGTTCAAAGGGCAATCAAGCAGTTACGTTCAGGCCCCAGAAGGTGAGCAAGCTATTTCATAGGTTTCCCTTACTGAGGCTGTGGCTCTTTGGGGTGCTGTGTTGCTGCGGAAGGTCTTTTTTTTTTTTTTTATTGGTTGTTCAAAACATTACAAAGCTCTTGACATGTCATATTTCATACATTAGATTCAAGTTGGTTATGAACTCCCAATTTTACCCCAAATACAGATTGCAGAATCACATCGGTTACACATCCACATTTTTACATAATGCCCTATTAGTAACTGTTGTATTCTGCTACCTTTCCTATCCTCTACTATCCCCCCTCCCCTCCCCTCCCATCTTCTCTCTCTACCCCATCTACTGTAATTCATTTCTCTACTTGTTTATTTTCCCATTCCCCTCACAACCTCTTATATGTAATTTTGTATAACAATGAGGGTCTCCCTCCATTACCATGCAATTTCCCTTTTCTCTCCCTTTCCCTCCCACCTCATGTCTCTGTTTAATGTTAATCTTTTCTTCCTGCTCTTCCTCCCTGCTCTGTTCTTAGTTGCTCTCATTATATCAAAGAAGATATTTGGTATTTGTTTTTTAGGGATTGGCTGGCTTCACTTAGCATAATCTGCTCTAATGCCATCCATTTCCCTGCAAATTCCATGATTTTGTCATTTTTTAGTGCAGAGTAATACTCCATGGTGTATAAATGCCATATTTTTTTTTATCCATTCATCTATTGAAGGGCATCTGGGTTGGTTTTACAGTCTAGCAATTGTGAATTGTGCTGCTATGAATATCGATGTGGCAGTATCCCTGTAGTATGCTCTTTTAAGGTCTTCAGGGAATAGTCCGAGAAGGGCAATAGCTGGGTCAAATGGTGGTTCCTGAACAGACACTTCTCAGAGGAGGACATACAGTCAATCAACAAGTACATGAAAAAATGCTCACCATCTCTAGCAGTCAGAGAAATGCAAATCAAAACCACCCTAAGATACCATCTCATTCCAGTAAGATTGGCAGCCATTATGAAGTCAAACAACAACAACTCCTGGTGAGAATGTGGCCAAAAGGGTACTCTTGTACATTGCTGGTGGGACTGCAAACTGGTGCGGCCAATTTGGAAAGCAGTATGGAGATTCCTGGGAAAGCTGGGAACGGAAGGTCTCTTACTAGGACTCACCTTGGCAAGGGCTATAGATGATTGAATCCAAGCCTGATTTCTCTGGTTTGGCAGCTACCCTCAAGGCAAAGCCAGTTTTAGTATTTTCTTGTTTTTCTAGTTGTTTTCTTGTTTTGTTTTATATTATTTTGGGGGTTTTTTTGTTTGTTTGGTTGTTTGTTTGTTTGTTTGTTTGTTTCGGTACCAGGAATTGAACTCAGATGCACTAGGCCACTGAGCCACATCCCCAGCCCTGTTTTGCATTTTATTTAGAGACAGGGTCTCACTGAGTTGCTTAGGGCCTCGCTGTTGCTGAGGCTGGCTTTGAACTCATGATCCTCCTGCCTCAGCCTCCTGAGCTGCTGGGATGACAGGTGTGTCCTACTGGGCCCTGCTCTAGTTCATTTTTGATCCTGAATTCTCCTTCCTTTCTTGCTGATTATTGAGCCATTACATCAGTCTATGACCACAGGATCTGGTCTAATACGGTACCAGACTTGGACCGGGGTTCAGTTCCTTCACCCTTCTGCAGTTTTCTATGGGTGTGGGGGGGCACTTCCAGCTAAACTCCAAGTCTTGTTTGTTTTGTCTTGTTTTGGTTGAAATTTTAGTTTAGATGGACACCATACCTTCATTTATTTATTTTTATGTGTTGCTGAGGAACCAACCAGGGCCTCACACCTGCTAGACAAGTGCTCTAGCACTGGGCTACAACCCCAGCCCAAGTCTTGATTTTTTTTTTAGTAAAATGGGGATAATGATTTTGTGCATTTCGTGAAATTGTTTTATTTTAAAAGGAACAGAACATACAAACTCAAAGAGGCTTTCCCAGAAAGTGTGCAAATAAACCCCAGCTGGCCCTGGCAGGAGATCTTCTCTTCCCTGTCCACAGGAAAGGGTCAGGAAGAGGAAAGGGGTCCTGCCCCCCAGTGGGGAGTTTGGGGATAATCTCTTTTCTTCTCCTGGGCACCCACAGCCGGAGCTGCTGGACCTGTACACCGTGAATCTGCACCGCATTGAGAAGGACGTGCAGAGGTGTGACCGCAACTACTGGTACTTCACACCCGCCAACTTGGAGAAGCTGCGCAACATCATGTGCAGGTGGTGTCCTGGGAGACCTGGGGGAGGGGCGTGGCAGGGGGACCCCGTGGGGCTATGGTGAGCCCAGGTGGAACTTCGGTCAGCCTCTGAAGCTGGTCTGTTTTTAACCCACACTGACAATTAAATAACAACAGTAATGATAAAAGAGAGTGATTATTGAGTGCTTACTGTATACCAGGCACTGTCCCAAGACCCCTACTATCCTCAGCTCATTTATTCCTTCAACAGCTCAATGGAGTAATTATTATGCCCTGTGACAGGATATGGAGACTCAGAGGGGGCCACCTGGTGCTCAGTGTCCTCACTGGACCACAACTCAGGGGGACTCACAGCCACATCTCTATCTAAAATCTGTCCTTTTCTTTCTTTCTTTTAAGCCAAGATCTAAGGCTACTTATTTCTGCTCATTAAAAATTATTATTGGCATCTCTTAAGAAGTAAAACTGGCCCAGGCATATTAAAAATCTGCAGCAATTAAGGATGTCAGAAGGTCCTAAGATGCAAAGAGAAACTTCCTTGTCTCTGCCTGTCAGTGACACTCCCACAGAAGTAATACCAGCTAGCCACGTGGCAAATATCTTCCATAGCCACATAGATGGTGTTTAATGATCATATAATCTTATGTCATATTCTGTGTACTGCAATATGAGTGTGTATTACATGATATGATGTATTTTAAAGTTTTCAACTGAATGACAGATGTTATATTTAAATGAGAAAAGTGCTGGGGAGGAGGAAGAATAGACTGACTTTTTCTGGTTATGAGCTTAGGGAGAGGTCATGGGGAGCCTCATAGAGGTGGGGACTCTCCAGAGAGACTTGGAGAAAATTTTTTTAAAATGACTGAAGAAACCACTGACCATGGAGTTTAAGGTCACATACCCTCAAATGAGGCTTCCTGGGTCCAGAAACTGCCTCCGCCCCCCACCATTAGGTCTATGACTCTGGGGAAAGCACTTACCTGTCCATGCCTCAGTCTCCTCATCTGTGAAGAGTGGTAATGATGATATTTATTTTATATGAGTATCTTACATGATTATCATAATTTGTATGATTATCTTGAAATATATATCTTTTAAGATATATGATTATCTTAAAAGATACGGTAAATGTGTATCAGGCTAAGTATATAGTAAATACTCAGAAAATACGAGCTCTTATTAATAAGAGGCTGATCAGAGTTTCTGAAAGCGGGACCCCCTAGGGCAAAGGTGCAGGGACGTAACCGTGTGGTTTGTCTGTGGGGAGGGAGACCCCCTGGGTGGCTGGGGAGGAAGAGGCACTGGAGGTGCTGCGTGGGGCTCTGAGATGAATTGGGAGGCGCTGAGTCCTGTACCCCAGTAAAGGAGTCTGGATGTCACCCCACCCAATAGCACCCTTATGAAGGCTTTTGAGCATGCAGTGACCCCCTTGAGCAGGACATTGGGAGGGCCATCCAGGTGGCTGTGCCCAGGTGTCTGGGGAGTGTGAGACAGGATGGGCATGCAGGTGTCGGGCTGAGGGCGCCATCTAGGGGAGGGGTGACAGGAGGTGGCTGATGGCGGTATCACTGGCCCCTGTTCCCTCGTAGCTACATCTGGCAGCACATTGAGATCGGCTATGTCCAGGGCATGTGTGACCTTCTGGCTCCGCTGCTGGTCATCCTGGATGATGGTGAGTGGGTCCCCTCTGCTGTAGACTCGGGGGTCAGATCCTTCCCACTGCAGTGAAGGGAGCGACCCTCACTCAGTGGGTCCATGGAATGAGCCGGGCAGGGGCTCAGGAGACCTGTCTGGGCACCACATCAGGGTCCTAGTGAACAGAGTCCTCCTGCGCCAGGTGTCCAACACCGAGACCCAGCCAGGCCTTTGCTAGCTACCGACTGTACAGACGTGACAGCAGAGAAGAACCAGGCCCAGGTGGCTTAACTGTGAGCGCTACCAGATATTCAGGAAAGATTTAACACAACTTCTTCACAGACTCCTCCAGAAAAAAAAAGGAAAGGAAATGAGCCAGGCCCAAGTTCAATGCCTAGTATCAGGAAGGGAGGAAGGAAGGAAGGAAGGCATCCCAACTCATCTGGGAGGCAGCCCTCGGATAAGTGCTGAGCTCCTTATCACCACCCAACGCCCACACCAGACACAGCCATCACAGGAAGGCTGCATCCCAATATCTTTCATGGATATGAATGCAGAAATCCTCCACAAAATACCAACAGGCTAATTCCAACAAGATATAATAAGTGAAGTGTTTCATTTTGTTTTGTTTTTATGATGCTAGGGTTTTGAGTCCAGGGCCTCACACATGCTGGGCAAGTGCTCTAACACTAAACTATGCCCCCAACAAGAAATAAAAAGGATTACAGTCCATGACCGGGTGGGATTTACCCCAGGGATGCCAAGGGGTTCAACATACAAAATAATAAGCACTCTTCACTACATCAATAAAATTACAGGCAAAAAAAAGTTCATCTTAATAGACACAGAAAAACATGATATAACCAACACCTTTCATGATAAAAACACTCAATGAACTAGGAACAGAAGGGAACTTGACATGACAAGCAATATCTATGGAAAACCCACCGTCAACATCAAACTCAGTGGGAAAGACTGAGCACGTTCCCCTTGGGTCTGGAACAAGATAAAGATGTCTGCTTTCTCCACTGTGGTTCCAGCATGGGCAGGTCAGGAAGGAAGAGAAACCACTGGAGAGGAAGCAGAACTGAGTTCCCAGTTGGCATGACTTTCCTGTAGAAAATTGTACTGAATAAAAAAATATATTAGAACTAATAAATGCATCGATTTTGCAGGATATGAGATCAATAAACCAAAGTCTATAGTGTTTCCATTCAGCCTCCAGAGCTGGTCTTATTTTAACTGATGATTAAATCACAACAACAGGGATGATAACAGAGTGGAATTTGGAACAAGCAATTCCAAAATGAAATGAAGAAAATAGTCCCATTTGCAATAGCATCTATGACACAGGACACTTAGGAACACATATAACGGAAGGGTAAGGAAGGTGCCCTGAAAACTAGAAAACATTCTTGGAAGAAATGGAAGAAAACCTAAATTATAAAAAGTCATCCACGTTCATGGGCTTGAAGACAGAACTGCTAAGGTGGCATTGGCCGCAACATCCCAGCACCACGGAAGAAAGGGAGGGAGGGAGGGAGTCCCCACTCTTAGGCATGGACCTCATGTAGTGACTCCCTCCCAAAGACCCAGTGTGAGAGGGGGTGGGGCTGGAAATGAGAGGAACGTCACAGTGGCGCAACACAGGGTTAGACATTCCCTCTGCAGAGTGACCAGGGCCCACGTCATGTGTCATAAGTCGTGTTCACAATGTGTATCCTGGACAGGATTCAATTAAAATGCCCTTTATCTTTGAGATCTTCCTCCCAAAATCCATAACCTCATCTCACACCAAATTCTCCTGCTCGTAATGGAACATCCTATAAAAATAATACCTGACCAGGACCCTTCAGGACTGTCGAGGACATCAAAAACAAGAAAGCCTGAGAAACTCAGGAGCCCAGAGGAACCTAAGGAGACACGCCAGCTGTGTGTCATGGGCCGGACAGCTGGGGTCCTTCAACAGAGAAAGCACAATAGGTGACTGCTGAGGAAACCAGAATACGGACAGAATCCAGTTAATGACGTATGGGTTTTAGTTCATTAGCTATAACAAATGAGCTGTGCTCCCGCAAAGATATTAATAACAGAGGAAACTGGGTGTGGTCCATGTGAGAAAACTCTGCTGTCTTCTCAGTTTTTCTATAAATCTAAACTGTTGTAAAAATAAAGTCTTAAGCAGGGCATAGGGGTGCCTGCCTATAATCCCAGTGGCTCAGGAATCTGAGGCAAGTTTGAGGCCAGCCTCAGCAACTTAGTGAGACCCTAAGCAACTTATCCAGAATCATCTCAAAATAAAAAATAAAAATGGGCTGGGGATGTGGCACAGTGGTTAAGCACCCCTATGTTGAATCCTTGGTTCCAATAAATAAATAAATCAGAGTGTTTAAACAATGAATGAAATCCCACTGTCCTTGGGAAATTTTCCAGTCTAGCATAGCTCTCCTCAAAATTATCAATTATTTAGCGAGAGAAAATAAAATCTACCATTTTTCAAATAAGTTTGTGACTCACTGGATGGTATGAATCAGGTTTCTTTCTCTGCTACAGGACTTCTCAGAGCCTTTACTTTTTAAATATATGAATGCATGGGTATTCTAAGCAGCAGATAATCTGAGCAGCATTTTCCAAAGTAATTTGAAACTCTGCATGTTGTCTATAAAAGCCCTTCCGATACTCAGAGTTGGTGCTTGAGGACAGTGGTTCTCAGACTTGGAATTTCCAGTGGAACTTCTAGTTGTAGTTGAACACAATACTTTTATTTTAATGTGGTGCTGAGGATTGAACCCAGGGCCTCGCACATGCTAGGCGAGAGTCTACTGCTGAGCCACAGCCACAGCCCCTCCAGTAGAATTTCAAAAAAGAAAAAAAAAAAGGTACAAACAAAACACTGCCAACTTTTTACTGGAGCAAATAGAGGCCTTTTGAAAAGAGCCTCGGCTACACCATCATTTCCTAAACAAGGGTGCCAAGAGCTCCTGGGTGAGAAGCACACGATTCCCCTCAGGTTGGAGAGCTTCCCTTGGAACCCAATCCAGCGGGCCTTCCACGGTCCCCATGTTCCCCCCCTGGCTGTGGACGCTCTGACCCAGCCCTGGGCTTAGCACTTCCCCCGGGGAGCTGGGGGCCTCGGGCAGTGGTACCACTAACATTTGTCCCTCGCACGCTGTGCCCCAGAGGCCCTGGCCTTCAGCTGCTTCACAGAGCTCATGAAGAGGATGAACCAGAACTTTCCCCACGGAGGCGCCATGGACACGCACTTTGCCAACATGAGGTCGCTGATCCAGGTATGACCGGCATCTAATCCTGCTTCCAGCTCTTTGGGGACCAGTAGGTATCGCTCCATGACTTAGGATTGAGCAACTTGGGGTCAAGGTGCATTTGAACCCTATTTCTGCTTCTCACTGGCTAGAAAATCTAGGCTTTTATCTTTCTGGGCCTCAGTTTCCTCATCTGGAAAATAGGTTATTTTCCCATTTATATGATTCCCAATGAATTGTTACAGTTATGGAAATGAAATAAAGTAATGCATTTATAGTACTGAGCACAGGGCCTGCAGGGTCCCTGACCAGCAGCAGGAGTGTCACCTAGTAACTTGTTAGAAATGCAGGTCAGTCTTACCTCCCTCTGCCCCCCTGACTCAGAGACATGGAGCTGAGCCCGACAGTCTGTGTCATATGAACCCCTCAGTGACTCCGTGCAAGCTGAAGTGTGCAGGTGCTATGAAAAATGCCAGCCCTTCAGCACCCACCATCTGCTCCCAGAAGAATTGAGACATTCGCTACTTTGAGTGGAAGTAATGGAAATGTATCAGCCTTAGCAAATGACAGGGAAATGTCACTACCTGGGCACCTTCAATGACATTGCAGCAGTGATCAAGTTAATCCTGAGTACTTTTTTGGTGAAGCTAAAAAATGTCACCAAATATTTTAGACATAAGAGAAATGATGATACGATGAGTGTCCAAAGCATTTACCATAGATTTCCAGCCCTCATGTGTCCCTGTGGATGGCATGTCCTCATTCTTGTCCTCCTAGTGGTGACCCCTTTCTAGGATGTGAAGCTTGTAATTAAAAGACTTTCACAAAAATCCTCCTACTGTGTATGCACTGCCGTGGGGCTGCTTCCCCAGGGCTCATGTAAGGTGCAGGAATAGTCTTGACTGGCGTCGGTCTGGCAGCGTGTCTGTGCAGGGGGCAGGTCTGCTGCACTCCTCAAGGGTGCAGGTCACTGCCTCTTCCCTGAAACTCAGCTTCCACTCTAGGAGTCTCGCACATAGGCCCACGTCATTCGTAGCCCTTTTCCTGTTGGTGGACACTTAGTTTATTTCCATTTGTTTTGTTTTGTTTTGCTTTTGCTTTGGGGATTTGCAAGTTTGCTTTTGGCCTTTACAAATGGTGCTGTTAAGAAATTCTGTGCACATCTCCTCCTGCATGCACAAGCTGTGCTGGGGCTTCATTGGACACGGCTAGATCATTCTCCAAAGCCATCAGTTGTCCCAAGAAGGTTTTTTTGTTTTGTGTGTGTGTGTGTGTGTGTGTGTGTGTGTGTGTGTGTGTTTTTCAGTCCTGGGGATCAAATCCAAGACCTTGCTCATGCTAGACAAGTGCTACACTCCCAGGCATTTTTTGTTTTTTAAATCTTGAGACAGGGTCTCACTAAGTTGCTGAGGCTGACCTTGAACTTGCCCTAGATCTTCCTGCCTCCCTGGATCCTGAGCCTCCTGCCTTGTGCACTGCCACACCCAATAGTGAGATTCCTTGACCCAAGTCACCCTTACCTGACCTGTCACACTTCTTCCTTTTGGCCAGTCTCCTGGGTGCACTTGCAGCAGTGTGTGGTGATGTCTGCAGCAGTCCGGCTGCAGCAAAATAACCGGGGGGTGACGAACAACTTGTGTACGTTGATACAGCAGGAGAGGGAGCCGTTTATTGTAGGACAGGAGTGGTATTTATACATTCCACACAGTTTACACAAACCACTCCCTCTGGCATTTTGCCAGGCGCCATCCAGACTTGTTTACAGACTCTAACAGATGTCATCTGTGTTTTTCTGAACAGTTCCAAGGAAGATCCGTCCTTCTCCCTTTGGAGTCATTTGGGTCGCTCTCTGTGGATTCCCTGTCCTAGTGCTGCTCTCTTTATTTGGGTGCCTTCTGCACCCTTAAGACTCCTGCAGCGCGTGCTGCCCTTCTCTTCCCGCAGACTCTTTCAGAGCTGCTGTTCCTCTGAACACAGTGTCTGATTCCCGCAGGTCTCTGCCCTCTGTTTTCTAACAGCCACGGTTTGTTGGTCCATTCATCTTTTGGTGGATGTCGGACTGGTTTCCATTGGCCGTTTTGAACAGTGCTGCTGTGCGGTCCATGGTCAGATTATTCCACGGACTGTTGAGGAGTCTCGTGGGACGGTGCCTAGGGAGGACCTGCTGGATCGCGCGGCAGCTCTGTGTTTAACTTTTTGAGAAGCTGCCAAAATGTTCTCCACAGCAGCTGCCCCAGTTACCAGAGCAGTGGAGGGGGCTCCAGCTTCTCCTGATCCTCGCCAGCACTTGTTATTATCTGTCACTGATTGAGCCATCCCAGGAGTGTGAGGTGGCGTCTCCTGCGGTTTTCATTTGGCTAAAGATGCCAAGCGTGCTGTGTGTGCTCATGGCCACTTGGAAGTCTCTGGAGAAACGTCTACTCACAGTCTTTGTCCACTTAAACCCCACCTGGTTGCTGAGGGCTGTCTGGTGACGGCTTGTGCCGTCCTTGACCCAGCGGTCCCCTCTTGTTCCAACCTTTCTCTGGAGCTGATACCACCGCTTTTTCTTCCTCTAACAGATCCTGGACTCGGAACTCTTTGAGCTGATGCATCAGAACGGGGACTACACCCATTTCTACTTCTGTTACCGCTGGTTCCTGCTGGACTTCAAACGAGGTACCCGCTTCAAACCAGGGCCTTGTCCCAGGCTTTCTGAGCAGGACCTCGGAGGAGGCGCTAGGGCAGAGGCGAGGCTGAGTGGGTGCTGGGCCAAGGCAGCAAAGGGATCAGCATGTTGGTCACTTGCACTGACAGCTTCTGCCACTTCTTTTTGCCTGACCTTGCAAACACACTGCATGGGGACTGGGACAGTCCCACTTCACAGATGGGAAAACTGAGGCTGAGGAAGATTTAATCCAGAACAAGGAAGAGCAGAGCCAGCCATCTGAGCCCATTCTCTCCACCCCCAGGGCCACCTCTTCTTCCACTCAGTGCTGCTTAGCAAAGACTCTCAAACCCACGGAATAGAGGGTGCTTTGTGCATGTGTCATACATGACTCAGAAGTGACGTCACTTCTAGATGCACGGCTGTTATGCACATTGGGGTGATATGATAATAAGAATGACTCACATTTGGAGGGGTTTACTAAGTGCCACCCACTTGGGTGTCTTATCTCTGTCTTTTACTCTCACCAGTATCAGCGCCCCCTACAGACGGGGCGAGAGGCAGGGAGAGAAGCAGCCCCCTGAGGCCCCAGAGCTGGACTGACAGCCAGTTAATGGGAAGCCTTGCTCCTTTTTGTCCCCAGACCATTAATAAGTGGAACTTATCTCAAAAATGCAGATTATTTACATATGAAAAGCACTCAGTGTAACACATGGTATCCATAGAGTAAGGGGAAAAAAGAACATGATCACTCAACACATGACATAGAAAAAGCATTTGGCAGTGAAACAAAAAAGCTTTTGACAAAATCTAATCCTTCAGGACAAACCAACCAACCAGGAGTAGAGGGGCTTCCACCAGAAAAATGGGAAGCCACAGTGACCCAGCTGCCATCACATGATGGTGAAGGGCCACAGCCCCCTGCAATGAGGAGCAGGACGTGGGTGTCCGCTCTGGTCCTGTCCACCCCGCACTCCCGGAAGTGCTGGCCACAGCAGCTATGCAGGCTGGGGCCAGGCTGCAGCTCAGTGGTAGGGCGCTTGCCTTGCATGAGCGGGGCCCTGGGTTCGATCCCCAGCACCACATAAAAAATAAAATAACAGTGTTGTGTCCTACAACTAAATAATTATTTTTTAAAAAGAGCAGTTAGACAAGAGGAAGAAAGAGCCTCCACACTGGAAAGGAAGAAGTAAAAAATCTTCTGTTTGCAGAAAACACAATTGTGTACAAAAAAAAAGGATTCAGAAAACCCCAAGGAATCCACCCACACAGCTATTGGAACTAAAGACAAGCTCAGCAAGGTGGCAGGATACACATCAACGTGCAAAAATCAGTGGTATTTTTATACACTAGCAACAAAAAAAATTTAAACTCAGAACAGACACATTAATAAAGCATCAGAAAGAATAAAATACTTAGGAATAAAATTTTATGGATTTTTTTGTTTGTTTTGTTGTTTATTTTTTGTTGTTTTGGTTTGTTTTGTTTTTTGCTACTGTGGATTGAACCCAGGGTCTTAGCCACTGAGCCACATACCCAGCCCTTTTTATTTTTGAGACAAGGTCTCAGTAAGTGGCTTAGGGCCTCCGTTAAGTTGCTGAGGCTGGCCTCAAACTTCCTGTCCTCCTGCCTCAGCCTCCCGAGCCACTGGGATTATGACGTGCATCTACCCATGCAGTTTAAAGGAAGCCTTGGTCTTACCTACCCCTATCTTCCACCTCTTCACTAACCTCAGGCAACAGCCAGCCCTGCCCTGTGCAGGCTGATGGGTAGCAGAGGGTGGGCCCTGGCAGGAGCCAGGGAGGGCACAGGTCCATATCAATCAAACCTGCACCTGCTCGGTTCCTCCACTTGAGCTGGAAGAAACGCAGGAAGCTGTTCTACTGATGAGGGAAACTGAGGCTTCCCAGGGTCAAATGACAGGGTTCTGGGCTCCACATCCTGCCTCACAGCCAGGACACAGGCCCAAGCCCAGTTGGCCCCGGATCCTCGGCAGGAAGGGCAGCCCTGTGAGTGCGTGGCTGACCTGTCATGAGTATGCATGTTGGTGTCCCTGCAGAACTCATCTATGATGACGTCTTCGCCGTCTGGGAGACCATCTGGGCAGCCAAGCACGTCTCGTCCGCCCACTACGTCCTGTTCATCGCGCTGGCTCTGGTGGAAGTCTACCGCGACATCATCCTGGAGAACAACATGGACTTCACGGACATCATCAAGTTCTTCAATGGTACCCTGTGGCGGGGTCATGTCGGGGGTGGGGTTGTCCAGAGGGAGGGGCCAAGGGAGTTGTGCACATTTTTACAGGGGATGTCCCAAAGGATGGGTTGACATCTTGTAATGCTGAGGTCGCATTTTTCTCAAGGACCTGGCAGAGGTTCCTGAGTGTTCAAATCAGGCTCAAGGGTAAAGCCCGGCTCTGCCAGTGACCAGCTGTACCCTGGGCGAGGCCCTTCCCCCTGTCTAAACATCCACTGCCTCATCTGTGAAATGGGGGGCTGCCATGTACAGGAAATGAGGAACAAGGGGGCAGCTGCGTGGCATGAACCAGATACAGCCTTTGAAACCAGACAGGGTTTTGATTCCAGCTCTGCCCCTTGGGAGCTGTGTGACCTTGTCCAAGTGATTTCACGTCTCTGGGCCTCAGATTCTTCAGGGATAAAATGGTGCTAACATCTCCTCTGACACAGGGAGACCTGGAGGATTAAAGGAGACGATGGATAAGTCTCATCACATGGTCCCTGGCCCATGGAGGGGCCTGAAAAATGAAGCCATTGCTACTGTTATCACCATGCAGCTTAGCATGCATGAGGCCCTGAGAGTTCAAGGGAAGGAAGGAGGAAGGAAGGAAGGAAGGAAGGAGTAGCTCCAGCTACAACTCCACCCCCTCTTAAATTAAGGGGGAAAAATAACCACCTATGATCTCACCTTGGAAACATAATCGGTTTTTTTTAATGTAAACTTTTAATTTTGGAATAATTTTGGATTTTATTCATTCATTTGGCATTTAGAACTCTTTCAGATTCACAAACATGTTGCAGAGAAAGTATGTAGAGTTGGTGATAGGTTTTGCCCAGTTTTGCCTGATTCTGATCCATCTGTCAAGACCGAGAACTTCACATTGCTTACACAGCTGCAGACTTCCTTGGGTCTCATCTGGCTTGTCCCTACTGTGCTCCTTCCCAATAGGAACCACAGTGTATTCATGTTGTTACTAGTTCCATTTCGTTCTTCTACTGTCCAGCAGGAACCAGCGGTAACAGTTCAAAAAGCTCTCACATATAACCCTTTGTTACCACCACAGAGTACACCCCGGTGACTGTCCTCTAACTTACTGGACCATTCCTTGTTCTTGGGTGTCTTATTTTCCATTTGAAGATGTGATAGAGAAAGAAAATCAATTCGTATCTTGGTGTCGAGGCTCCCAGGCCCCTCGGCTCAGGGCCACCCAGGGTCTCTGCCCAGCATTTCCATGACATTGTCATCACAGCATCTCAGGCCAAAAGTTCCATTTAGTAAGCAGCTTGGGCCAAGTCACTTAATGAGTTTCCATGTCCTAATAACACAGTAGCCATTGGGGGGGGATGCATGTAAATTGAAAGAAAAATCTTTTCTATTTCATTCTTAAGTAAGTCAGTTCCAGGGCTATGTGCACCTGTTGGACCCACCGTCGCCTCACCAGCCTCCACTCCAGCTACGACTCCACCCCCTTATTTCCTGTTCCTCACATAGTACTTGCTTTTTATCACAGCAGCTGCTAACAACCCACAAGTGGACAGGCGATGTGGTGCTCAGTGGACCGCAGTGTGTCTGGGGCTGACTATCCCACAATGCAGTTCACTATGCAGTCCCGGGGTACCTCGGCCCCCGGTTTGGGAACTGCAGTCTTGGTGCTTTTCTCTTTGCCCCATAAATGGTTCCTCCATGGCAAATGTCCACTCTGTTTAGAGGTTTGAAGATCTGACCTCAGGAAAAAAACATTTTTCTTCTCTTTTTCTCCCTCCCTCCCCACCATGCCCCCTTTCTCCCTCTGTCCTTCCGTCCCTCTGTCCCTCCATCCCTCCCTCTGTTGCTTCCTTCATCTCCATGTCATCGGAAGCACCAATCTTGTGCCCATCTGTGCTCTTTTCTTGAAGGTTCCCCTTCGTCTCTCTGTGGGACCGGGGTGGACAGACGAACACTTTTCCCAGCACACGCTGTGGACCAACACTGCCTCATTTTGTCTCCATGGCAACCTGGAGCGATGGCCCTGTGACCTCCCCAGATGAGGGAACTGAGGCAGGCGGTGCAGGCCCTGCCCAGGGTCTCTGCCCGCACGGTCTGTGTGACGGGGCTGTCCCTGAGGGGGCAGGAAGCAGCTCCTGAGCACGCCTTCTGCTCTTTCAGAAATGGCCGAGCGACACAACACCCGGCAGGTGCTGCAGCTGGCCCGGGACCTCGTGTACAAGGTGCAGACCCTGATTGAGAACAAGTAGAGGGCGCCACCCATGCCCGCCCTTCTCCCACCCTCCTTTCCTCTGGTGAGCCCGGCCTGGGCGCCCGCCCTGGAGTCTGCTCATGAACGTGGCTCCTGTGCCCAGAGAAAGGGCCCTGCTTTGGCCGCGGGCAGGTGGGTCCAGGTCAGTCCAGCCTTACGTTTTCCTGTTTGACCAAAGATTGACCAAGCCTGAGGCCTCCGCCACGGGTCTGGCTGCAGATGGACAGAGGAGGCCTCTTCCCTCTGCCCTGTCTGTCCCCCAACCCTTCCTCATCTGTACAGAAGAGCTCTGGAGAGGTCTCTGGGGCTCCCACTGTGCCCTCAAAGCGGCCTTTGGAGACATCCAAGAACATGCTGGAAGGCTGGCCTACGGGGGCCCCTCCCGCAGCGCTGCCTTGGAGGTCCGCGGGTTCCTGGTGGCGGGCTGCCCCACACATCTAGGATGCTGAGCGGCCTCCTTGGCTTCCACCCAGATGCCAGGAGCTCTGTCCCCACCTCATGCCTGTTGTGACAATCCCAAATGTCCAGAACATCCCTGGATGTCCCCTGCAGGGCAGAATTGTCCCCATTTGAGATGTCTCCCCTGCCTCTCTGTTTTGCCAAGCCATCCTCTGTCCTGAGGCCTCCCCCAAGAGAAAGGGCGCACGGGGTCCTTCCCAGGCTCCCCTGGACTCTGGGGCTGCTCTGCTGCATTAGCTTGTTTTCCCTCCTCGACGCGATGCCAGGAGACACTTCTTTTCTTCTTTTCAAGAAAAGCATCTTCCTGCAAGTAGCTAGAGTCTGAGGACTTCTGTGGGCGCCAGGTCCAGGCTCTGCAGGGCTCTGTGCACCTCAAGGCCAGACGGGGTCCCCTCCCAGTGCCTCTTCCTGGGGGAGACCTCACTGGGCCTGGTGCGCAGAGGCCTACGGGGAGAGCCTGGTTCAGGGGGCCGACCTTTCCCTAAGCGCTTTGTTCACTCAGGACAAAGGAGGGAAATGAGACGGGATTGGCCAGGGCAGGGCTGGCTTCTGTTGTCCTTGGGGAGCATCTGCTGATAAGCGGGGCCCAGGGCCATGGCTGGGTCCAGGAAGAGTCCCCTGTGCACCTGCCCATCAGGGACACAGTCTACAGACACCGAGCTTCAGCACCTGCCCCTGCCCTCAGGCAGAGCAGCCGGCCAGCTCTCCCATCAAAGAACAGACCTGGACAGGCCAGAGAGCAGGAGGCTGGGCGGAAGCTCCTCCCACTAGACCTGCTGCCTCTGGGGTCACCAAGGGCCACCTGCAGCTTGGGATGGGAGGAAGTGGGGAAGTGGATTTAAGATCTGAGAGGCTGCAACCAGGTGGGGAGAGTCTCTCCTGCCTCCCTTCCTCCTGCTGCATCTGTCCTCCGCCCTCCCCCGAGGGGACAGGATGGAGAGAGGCCTGGCTGCTGCCTGAGGAGAGTCCCATGGGAGTCACCTTCGCCCCACCCAGCTCCTGCTCTGCCCCACCATAGCAGGAAGGGGAGGGGACAGCCTGGTCCCCAGCTTCCCAAGACAGAGGGGCCTGTGGGACAGAAGTGCACTTTACCACTCAGCAGTTCTCTACGGGGGATGGTACTGAGCACAGCCCAGGCCCCAGGCCTCCCGAGTCCTATTTATTTTTTTATCAGAAAGTCTCAAAGTACAGCACAAGGTCTCTCCTCTGCCTCCCCTGTGGCGTGCCGAGTGTCTGTGGTTGTAGTTTGGAGTGACTTTATATTTACACAGTTTACCTGCTCTCATTCAGACTTCGTTGGTTGTGTGTGTCTGTGTCTGTGTCTGTGTGTCCTGGAGCTGAACGTGAGAGACCCTGTCTGTGAGCTGCCCTCTTTTCCTTTCCCCAGTGTTGGCCACATATCTTATAAATGTTTACTGGAGAATTGTGTCTATATGTGGAGAGAAAATATATATGAGCAGAGAAACATAAGTCTGCATTATGTTTTCTTTTGTTTGGAGAAATTTTTTTAATCCGATGGTTTCCATACTGTGCCCTTGCACCCTGCACACATGGGGAGCTGCTGGGTTTTCTCTGGAAAGGTCGATTCAGGTGAAGCACTTCTCGCCTCGTATATCAGCTAGCAGTCCCCCCAGCAGTGCTGCGTGACAATACCTGAAACGTGGTGGTTCCAGGTAGCCTTTTATGTAGCTCTGGGTCTGTGGGTCCAGCCAGGGAGGCCTTCTGATCTTGGCTGGACTTCTTCATGCGTCTGTGGTCAGCTGATGGCCAGAGAATCAAACACTGCTGACAGTTGGCTGGCTGGTGGCTCGGGCAGGGGGAGCTGGGCCACACGTCCTCCTCTAGCAGGCCATCTAGGCTCTTCCGCAGGCCCTGATGGCAGGTTCCCAGAGGGCAAGCGGAAGGCGCCACCCCTGGGCTTCGCTGGCACAAAGTCATTTGTGCCACATTCTGGGCAGAGTTCAGATGCGAAGGTGGAGATGCAGACTCTGCTGCTCATGGGCGGCTTTGAAAAGCGACATTGGAAAGGAGCGTGGGCACCAGCAGGAACATGCCGTCAGCTCTCGGGGGGCCACTTCTGCAGATTCAGCCAACCTCGGACAGGAAGTTAAACACTGGCAAAAGGAAACCAACCCTGCTCTGCTCTGAGCACATTCCCCGAGCAGCACGGCACAGCACCCGTTCCCACAGCGTTAGGAGGGCACGCCCTGTGTTGTAAACCCGGCCTCAGGACTTAGGTGACATGTACTGTCACACGCACAGCTACCTGCCCACGCTGCCCACTTTACATGGAGACTTGAGCAGCCTGGGATTTGGGTGCCCACAGGGTCCTGGAATCAGTCGCCCATGGGTACCAAGGCCCACATGGTGAGCCATTAGACACAGGCCCTTCCCCCAAGTCACCACCTCGGTGTCCCTGCTGCTGAGTGGTTCCTCGCCCACCTCCAATGACCCCACAGACCCTGACCCTGCCTTGCCCGGCATCCCTGATGCCCTCTCCTCGTAGCTGCCCTGCAGGCCCTGGTCTCAGGCAGTGGGCTCCTCGTGTGTCTCCATCACCACAGGCCTCGAGACCTGGGCTTGATGTCACTTGCAGAAACAAAGCCTGACTCCTCCAAGGAGCACAGCAACACTCGGGGGGTCAGTGCAGAACGAGAGACTCGCGAAGAAGCCGGCAGAGCGGAGGAGTCTGGAGAAGCCCCGGTCCTGGGTGCACCCCCGCCACGTCCTTGGAGATTCCCAGGAGAAGCAGATATGAAGCCACCTGGCAGTAGGTGGCACTGGCCAGCTCAGCCGGGGCTGTCCTGGTTGGAAGCTATTCTCCCTCCTGAGGTAGGGAGGACGAGAGGCCTCAGAAGGCAGTAGCCCTAAAGGTCCGCTGTCCTGTGGGGTCACCAGTCTCACCTCTGACTTCAGCCCTGGCTCAGCCTGTGTGGCTCTCCTCGGGGGTGACCCATGAGGTGCTGGGCGCTGTTCACGGACGCCTGGCCATGGGAAACTGATGGTGGACTTTCTGGGTAAAAATAATTCCTCAGAGCCAGGTGCAGTGGCCCACGCCTGTCATCCCAGGGGCTCGGCAGGCTGAGGCAGGAGGATTGCAAGTTCAAAGCCAGCCTTAGCAACTTAGAAAGGCCCTAAACAACTCAGTGAGTCCCTGTCTCCATATAGAAATAAAAAGGGCTGGGGATGGGTCTCAGTGGTTAAGCACCCCTGGGTTCAATCCTTGTTACAAAAAAAAAAAAAAAAACCCTAAGGTATTGTTTGCTTTGTAGAGACTTCCCTACACACGTGGATTTGAACTTTGCCTAGATGTGGATGGTGAGGCACATGGCCATGACCCCACGGGGTGAGAGTGGTGTTGATTCCCTTACTGGGGCGGTTCTGGGGACCTCCTCCCTTCTCTCTGCCCAGGGGAAGGGAGGCAAGGGGCTCAGGGCCGTAGGAGGAGGTGGCACAAACGTCCTTCCCTCTCACACGCACTCTGAGGTTTGGCCAGCGTTAGACCAATCAAGTCTTCTCCCTGTGTTTTGGTTTTGGTTCTGGTTTCTGTGGTGTTGGGACTACGCCAGCACCCTATCACTGAGCCAGGATCCCAACCCTTTAAAGAAAGAAAACAGAAGTCTTTTCAGACAGACTTTTGCTAAATTGTCCAGATTGGCCTCAAATTTGCCATCCTCCTGTCTCAGCCTCCCAAGTAGCTGGGATTACAGTGTGTGCCACCACGTCCAGCCTAACCATGTTTCATGACAGCATCTCCCAAGCTCGGTCCCTGCCATCCACCTAGATGATCTTGATTGTGTCTGTGGACCGCCCATGTTCCCATATCCTAATGGCTTTCTTTAAATCAACATACTTTTTAAACTTGAAACATGCAAAACCAGGATGAGTTCCACAAAAGGAGGATAGCTGTGATGTCTGATGATGTTATCAAAGCACTCACTACTCCCTACCAGAGGTTTTGGGTGCAAAGCCTGTAAGTGAACATCTTGTCCCTGTAAGACACATCTAAGATAACCAACTTAAAAAGAGAAAAGTTTTACTTGGGCTCAGTTTGGATCATCAGGTCCATGATTGCCCTTCCACATCTGGGGCTGGGGGCAGCGCATCATGGCAGAAGCACGTGGTGGAACAAAACTGCTCACCTCGAGGCTAGGAAGTGAAACAGAGGAAGAGCCTAGGGTCCTAAGGGTCCCCTGCAAGGACATTCATTCATCCCAGTGACTTAACTCCCTCCCACCAGGCCCCACCTCTTCAAGGTCCCACCACCTCCCAGTAGCTATCCCAGCTGGGGACCAAGCCCAGAGCACATGGACCTTCAGGAGACATTTAAGATTCAGTTAAGAAAAGGTCATTTAAGGACTTGAGAGGTGTGGAGAACACGCCAGCCCCCAGCCGTCCTCCCTCCTTCAAAGACTTCAAGGAGAATCAACTGTCCGCCTCTCGGAGAGTGAAGATCCAGCATCCCAGGCCTGCTCGGCAGCGGTGGCAGTGGGTTCCGGCTGGGAGGCCATCTTTCCCCTGCTCCTCCCGTCCACCCCGGGTTCCCAGATGGGTCTTGGCAAGATAAGAGGCTGCGGCTCCAGGAGGGGAGCGGTTCCGGGTGCGCCCCAGCCCCCTTGGGCTGTGCCATGCAGAAGCGCCAACAGTGCGCTGAGGCCACAGGTCCTGAGCAGCAGCTGCCTGTGGGTCTGGTCTACGGCGTCCTCTTGGCTTTCAAGCCTCTGGGAACATGGAGAACTCCGCCGGGGACAGAGGCACAGCTGACTCACCTGGAAGTGCCAGCTGGCCAGCCACAGCAAGACCACGCAGTCCCTGGAGTGGCCCCTGGGCGCTGGCATGTGCTGCGGGAGTCCTCGGCCCTCCCCCGCCCGCTCCTTTCTCCCCTTGTGGGCACCACGGCTCTGTAGTGCTATCCTCCTTGCCAAAAAAAAAAAAAAAAAAAGGACACCTTGTTTTGCTGGAGAGAAAACAATCAAGAAGGATCCCTCTGCCTGTTGCCAAGTAAAACAGAGTCTCTGTAAATGGCTTTGCTTTAAGGGTTGGGGACTCCTTCCCTTTGGCATTGCTGAAACAGTTCACAGAGAAACAGTTAAGGACCTTGGGAGCCATTGTGAGGTGCACAGAGACCAGGTGGCCCACCCCAAGCTTGAGTGGGTGACCTGAGGATTGAGGGGCTTCTACTTGGTGGCACCCCTTATGGCTTTTTTTGGGGGGTGGGGGGGTACCAGGGATTGAACTCAGGGACCCTTGACCACTGAGCCCCATCCCAGCCCTATTTTGCATTTTATTGAGAGACAGGGTCTCACTGAGTTGCTTAGGGCCTCACTGTGGCTGAGGCTGGCTTTGAAATCCATCCTCCTGCCTCAGCCTCCCCTGCCTGGGATGACAGGCGGGCACCACCGCACCCAGCTGCTTGCTGCTATTTGTGCTGTGGCGTGCTTGGGTTTGCACGGCAGGGCAATTGGCATCAAGTGATCATAATGACATTGGAAATGTCCTGCTGGCCTCCCAGTCCCTTGGAACACTACTCTGTGGCTGCCTAGGTTTTTCTCTTTATTCCATTTTTTTCAAAGCAGAAGTTATGGGTCATCTTTACTGTTCCTTCTGGAAGATAAACACGAGCTGCTTTTTCCTGTGACCTATCAATGCCAGCTGAGTGGGTGGGGGCAGAGGGAGCAAACCCGGGTGGTCTTTTACCTCCCCAATAGTCTGTCGGATTTGGATTCAAATCCCAGCTCTGCCATTGATCAGCTGTGTGGCATTGGGCAAATGACTTTCTCTCTCTGACAATTTTCATATCTATGAAATGATCTTAATAAATAAAACCTCCATTAAAGAGCAAGCTGGCCATGGGATGCCCAGCAGCCTTCCCCCATTCCAGTACCAGCCACTGCTCCAACTCTAGCTCTGTAAGTGAGGCTGCTGGCACACCCATCCGCACTGTGGGCATGGGACGCGGTGGTGACCAATCAGATACTTCCCTGGGATTGGGAAGGGAGGAAAGGAACTCTGTGTGCCAAAATACTTTATTTACACTGAAGATCTTGAGTTAACTGTCATAACAACCCTTCATTTTACAGAAGAATAAATAGGTCCGGAGAGGTAAAGTGGCTTGCCTGGGGTCACACAGCAAGGAAGCAGCCGAGGTGGGATCTGAACTTGAACATGGATTCATGATTTCATCCAACTGTAGAGTAGACTCTTTCTGTTCTTCCTGGAAGATTTTTATTTGCTTACTTCTGGCACAAGGATAATTTTCTCAGTGTCACTGGAGAAGATGGCATTCCGCTGGACCTTGGTCATTCAGGGCCACCCGATGATGGGCAGGAGGCTGGCCAGGATTGCATTGAGGATGGCAGTGACATAGCCCCACCCAGCTGGCACTGCCCACCACGGTGCATGGAGGGGGCCTCGCAGACTGCTTTGGCTAACGGGGAGTCCAGGCTGGATGGTGGGCTAGAGACGGAAGGTGGGAGGGCACTGGGCTGGCCTTCCCCAGGCCTCGACATCCACGAGCCGTCCACCCACCATTCAACCCCCCGTCCACCTGTTATCATCCATCCAAGCACATTCTACTCAGCTCGTCCTCCCCACCCCTCTACACGGAGGCATTCACTCAGCCATCCACCTCTCTGCACGTCACACCCCAGCCGTCCCTCCACCCCATCCTCCAACCATCCATGCATCCACCCACCCATCTATCCGTCCATACATCAGCTCATCCACCCCCACACCCCCATCCGTGCGCTCACCATCAGAGCCTGTTGGAGGGACCTGACTTGTCACAAGAGAAATGAAAATCAATGCCACACTGAGAGTCCCCGACACCCATTTGGATGGTGACTATCAAAAACCCAGAAAGTGAGTGTGGCAAGGGGGACATGGGGACCTGCGCACGGCGGGTGGGAGCAGGTGGTGCAGCTGCTGCGAGGACCATAGCTCCTCCCCAGAAGGCTCCAGGGGTGGCCGTGGGATCAGCCACCCCCCCCTTCTGGCTGAGCACCCAAGTCGGGCACCGTGTTCCCGCAGCTGATGTGGCACAGCCCCGGCTCCAACGCAGATGAACAGACAAGCGGAAGGGTGTGCCGGTGCGGAGGAACGGTTGATGCGTTTATTTTTTTTTTAAGAGGTAGAGAGAGAGAAGAGAGAGAATTTTAATACTTTATTTATTTTAGTTATCGGTGGGCACAACATCTTTGTATGTGGTGCTGAGGATCTAACCCAGGCCGCATGCATGCCAGGCGAGCACGCTACCGCTTGAGCCACATCCCCAGCCCCAAGATGCGTTCATTTTAAATTTACAAATATATATGTATTTTTATACATTTTTTTTTTTTGGTACTAGGCATGGAACCCAGGGGTGCTTAGCCACTGGGCCACCCACAGTCTGTTTCATTTGTTTTTTCTTGTGAGAAAGGGTTTCACTAAGTTCCTTAGCCCCTCACTAATTTCCAGAGGCTGGCCTCCAACTTGAGGCCCTCCTGCCTCAGCCTCCCGAGTGGTTGGGATGACAGTTGTGAACCACCACATCCGGCTCAGAATATATTTGTTAGGTACGACTTGTTGTTTTGAAGCGTGTGTGTATTTAGAGCTGTGGACATTACTGAGCCTTACGATAGAAGGAAATTCTGACCTAAACGAGAACCTGGATGAGGGATATCAGGCCATGTGAGGTAAGCAGAAGGGAAAGGAGAACTAGTAAGACCCTTCGCACGAGGAAGAGGGGTCAAGTTCACCGCAATCAAAGGCACAGGGGGTGCCAGGGCCTGGCGGGGAGAGGAATGGGAGTTACTGTTCAGTGGGTACAGAGTTGTCATTTTACAAATGAAAAGAACCCTGAGGATGGGTGGTGGCGACGCTGCAGACATTTTGAATATATTGATCATCACCTGAGCTGTCCCCTTAAAAAGGGTCAACAGGGTCAGGTGCAGTGGCCCACGCCAGTGATCCCAGCAGCTCGGGAGGCTGAGGCAGGAGGATCAGGAGTTCAAGGCCAGCCTCGAACCTTGTCTAACAATGAAAATTAAAAAAAAAAAAAAAAAAAGCAGGCAGTGGATGCGGTCCATGGTTGAGTGCCCCAGGTTCAATCCCCAGGACCAAAAATAATCACAAAAAGGTTAAATTTATATTAAGTATAACCTACTGTTATAAAAATGTTGTGTTGTTTTTAAGTCTGCTGAAGTTGCACTCTGCTAACAAACAGCAGGGACGAGAATAACAGGTCATGGCCAGCGCGGCCCAGCGCGGCCCTCATGGCAGTGTCCACTGTGGAGACGCTGGAGTCACAGGTTCTCAGGAATGACTGAAGCCCCCCCTGCCATCTCCCTTCAAACTGAATAGAGGTCCATGAAGACAACCAGCTAACAGCCTGAGAAGCCGCTGGACGTGCCGTGGTGACACTAGTGACAGAAATGACGTGAGCTGGAGGAGGGCCTCCAAGAGACTCTGCATGTCCCCACCCCTGCCACCTCCAGCCACCGTCCCTTCGCAGCTTGGGTCTCCAGCCTTCACCCCTGAGGCTGCAGTCACCAGATGCCCTGGTGCCCCCCCCCCGCCCCCCCGCCGGAGCTCCCGCCATCCCGGGTCCCACGGCATCACACGTCTTGGGGCTGCACCGCAGTTGGGTATGGAGTCCGTGCCTCCCCACGGCTCCCGTGTCACGTCTAACACCCACCGTGAGTGGGGGGTGCCCACCTACCCTGGAGATGTGTGGAGCGGGGGGCTCTGGGGAGGTGATCCAGAGTAGAAAGGTCATCAGGCTGGGCCTGCAGGTGTGAGTAAGAGGAGGAGGAGAGACCAGAGGACAAACATGGACACTCCCGTCTCCCACCATACGATGCCCTGCACTGACTCAGGACTCAGCCAGCAAGAAGGCCACCACCCTATGCAGCCCCTTGACCTGGAGCTTCTAGAACTATTAAGATTAAAAAAAAAACAAAAAACCCACCACTTTTTCTTTATAATGTTACCACCCTCGGGTATTTCCTGACAGTACCACAAAACAGACTAAGATACATTGTAACTGCCAGATGCTGCTCCCCCTGAAAGCTGAGGACAAAAGTTGTGTCTTCATCCAGTGACTGAACAAACATTTGGAAGGCAGGACATTTATCATAAGTGAGGCACCATGTGGGCGACAGGGACGTGGAGGCAGATGGCTACATCCTTGCCCTCTCAGGAGCAAGTGGATAAAGACGGACAGTGATCTGGGAAACGGGGAAGGGATTTCAGATAAGCAAGTAAGTGGGTGAAGGTCTAAAGCCGGGGAGGACGAAGCGCAGGAGAGAGAAGCTGCCAGAGGTCAGGGAGGCAGGGCGTCCGAGCAGACAGGGGGAGCGGGGTGTGGCAAGATCTGGGGAAACCGGGTTGCAGGCAGAGGGACAAGCAGGAGGGACAGGAGCAAAGGACAGTGGGTTGGAGTGGAGCCCGGCACAGGAGGGAAAGATGAGGCGGTGGAGAGGGGAGGCCTGGGTCTGGGGAGCCCCAGAGGCTGGACCCGGAGTTTGGATTTCACTCTGTGACAGGAAGCCACCGGAGAGTGGAGGAGCCAGCCTGCCTGGCGGGATCCCATTTCACTTTCAGCAGGACCTGTTTGTCCAGTGTGCGGCAGACCGACTGGGGGCGGGGGGTGGGGGTGGGGGGGTGGGGTCGGGCAGCAGGGAGACCTGCCAGGTGCTGGTCACCTTCACCCACGGTGGAGAGTTACTGGACTGAGAGCTGCAGTCAAGATGGGCTGGTGCATCCAGGGGCTGCGTGTGAATATCAGAAAAGCAACCCCCTCCGCAGGTGCAGTCTTGTGTGTCTACGGCTTAGCAAGTGGGGCAGCAGCTGGAGGTCAGCATCTCTCAGCTCTTAGCCAGGTATGATTGTGCAGTGCACAACCTCCCCAACTGTGTAGGGTCACCCAGGTACAGAGGACACAAATGGATAAGAGAGAATCAAAGAACTGGGTTGGCTCAGGGCAGGAGTAGGCTGCATCAAGATGCCATCATCCCGGACCCCCAGCAATTTCCAGCTTGCTTAAGGACCAAGAATAGGTCACAATCCTAGGGCTTATCTCTGCCATCTGTCTTAGGAGACCAGACGCTGCTCACAGCTCATTCATTCACTCATTCGGCAAATGCGTCTCGAGGGCTTGGGATGACCAGTGGCTTCCCTGCCACGGCCTGTAGCCCTGGCATCAGTCCACTGCCCCTCCTCGGACACAGTCTTTGGAGGCCAGTGCCCAGGACAGGAGGAGGCCCGCACTGGAGGCCAGCGGGAGCCAGCCTCCCAGGAGCATCACAGCTGCAGCCTGCCAGGAAGAGGGCAGAGGAAGGGTCAGGACGGGCATCGGACACTCCTCCATTTGCTTCTTGACCAGCCACTGTGTCCTCAAAACATCCCCAAGAGTTCTGTCCACTATGTCCCGTTTCTACAAACAGCCGGAGGCCCCGGGAGAGATTTGGCTCAGGCCACAGATAATTCAGTGGTGGAGCCAGAACTGAGATCCAGACCCACCGACCACCTCCCGGCCTGTATCATCAAGCGCTCACTACCCTGCACATCGGCATCCCCGGGAGAGGCACCTGTAACGTCTCCTTTGTGGTCAGTCTAGAGGTGCCAGACAGGGCACCCGTTTGCTCTGTTGCTGGTTTGGGTAATGAGCAGCAACACAAGGACGTCCACATCTCAGCTTTCATTTTCAAACTTAGCAGAGCTTAGAGGGTAACCAAGTAGGAGCGTGCAGGTTGTACACTGCACAACTCTAGGTGAATCTGGGATCATCTTGGATTTGCAAAATTCATGACAGTGAACTTCCAGCAGATGGCACTGTAGTGTCCTGGAGCTGGCTTTGGTTTGGTTTTGTTCTGGGTTCCGGGAATTGAACTCTGGGGCACTTACCCGCTGAGCCACATCCCCAGCTCTTTTTAATTTTTATTTGAAGACAGGTTCTTGCTAAGTTGCTTAAGTCCTCACTAAGTTGCTGAGGCTGGCTTTGAACTTGCAATCCTCCCAACTCAGCCTCCTATGCTGCTGGGATGACAGGCCTGCGCCACCACACCTGGCTGGCTGCTGCCTTTGAAATCATCCTGGGTGTTTGCTAAAATATAGCCAGACCCACCCCACACCTGCAGAGCCAGAGGTCCAGGTGGACCCCAGGACTTGGCAGTTTTGTTAAGTTCTGCAGGTGTCTCTGAAGGGCCACCAGCTTTAAGAACCTGGTACACCTAATGGTGTCTTCATAGTTGCAGGGACATCTGGGTGATAACAAAGGACCCTCACACCCCACCTCACTGGAGTCCGTTCTCTGTCCTGATGAGTTGCTCTGTCCCCGAGGGCCCAAGGAACTGGGGAGGCCACCTCAGGAATGTCCTCCAAGGATGTGAAGGTCATTCAGCTCTGGTTCCAGCTGTCACCCTGAGGCCAGGAGCAGTAGGGGAAGGTGGGGGCCTGGAACCAGGCCGGGAGACGAGGCCAAGGCCTGAGATGCAGCTGAGGGAGAGCCCCAGGGCTGCCCACACGCTGCCCACCATCCGGCACTGGTCACCTGGGGGCCAGGGCAAGGTTAATGGTGGAGACGGCAGGGACAAGGTGCCCTCCAGCCCGGCACCTGGCCTGTGCCCCGAGCCCGGTTCAGCAGCCCCCTCCAGCCTGGCCATCCAGCGGGGGATGGGGGACACCAAGAGCTGCGGGGGTCCGGGGCTCGGCCCTGACGCATCTGGAAGAGGAATCGCGGAGTCCAGGAGGGGGGTCAGAGCCCAGGCAGAGGGGACCCTGCCCGCGCCACTTCTGCAGGGCACAGTCCCTCCCGTGTGTCTGTCCTCTGTCCTCCCGTCCTTCTCTCCTTCCCTCTCGGTCAGAGGGTCTGCCTCCACCCAGAGGGCCACACGATGCCTGGGGTCCCAGCCGCCTCCTGCCCCTTGGCTCCCTCCTCCCAGCCTCCTGGAGGGCTTACTGGAGTCTGGACTCTGGGAGGCCAAGAGCGTGGGGCGCCACCTGGTGGGGGCCTTCTCACTGCGCCCCAGCATGGCAGAGTCCCTCCCGGAGGGACAAGCACGCTGGCTTCGTCCTTCCTCCTGGCCTTAGAGAGCCACGGGTGCCATTACAGGTTAAATGTCATACCTCATTTAACCCCAATGACCTTCCCAAAGTCCCACCTCCAAAGACCATGAACAATTCAGCTTCCAATACGGGGACTTTGGGGACCCGTCGAATCATGGAGGGCACGACTCTGGTTTTCCAACGGCAATTAAACCAGCAAGCTGGTCCAGAGTCCCTTCACCCCTAAATCACAGCCGAGGCGGAGTCCAGGAGTGGGGGGCACTCTGCCAGCCTGTCGCAAAGGGGGTGCAGGTGGCTGTAATATTGCAGGGGACAGACTGCATTGTGTAGGGGACGGGCAGACACAAGCCCAGGCGGGCAGCTCAGGGTCAGGTTCAAGGGCTTTTTAGTCCAGGATTAGACTCCTGGCTCCATAACCTGCAAGATGCGGCCCCCTGAGGATGGAGGCCCCCTCCCAGCCCCCGTCCTCCCAAAGTAGCCTCTCCGGCCTCGGCAGGGTCCCAGGGCTGGATTCCAGCCAGGGAGCCGAGGGAGCGGCGGGACTGGCAGGGAGCTGCCTCTCCCTGGCTGCACCAGGAGCTCGCAGGGTGTTTCTGACCTTGAAAGGAGCTCTGTTCCCCAAACAATGCCAGTGTCACCTGGGGAAGTCACTCCGACAGAACAGGTGCCAGAAAGCTAAATGAGGCGCTACGGCCCCAAAGCACATCCAGGCAGGCTCCACGGAGCTGGGGGGCACCCAAGGGAGGCCTGGCCGCTTTGTCCCTCTGTCCTGGCCCGGACCCAACACTTCCAGTGCGTCCCTTCCTGTAAGCCTCCCGGCCACCCCATGAGGTCGCTGCTGGTTTCATCAACTCCATCTTACAGGCGGCTTCCCGGGACTGCTCAGGGTCAGGGCAGGACGTCTCTGCCACCTGCTGTCATTGGGAGCACACAGGTGGTCCAGGAGGGACAGCCGGCCACGGGAGTCTTGGGAGCAGAATTGGGAGGCCTGGAGTCTCTCTGCCCCCAGCCTCCATGTCCCTCTCCGTGAATTGAAGGTTGGGATCATTCCTTCAACGTCCACGTGCCCCCCCAAAGTGGCCCCCGCCCCCCACCCCTAGATTACAATGGCAAACAGGGCAGAGTCCTTCGCCTCAAGGAGTTTAGAGTTTGGTGGGAAAGACAGACAAACAGGGTAACAGAACATGTCCATGTGGCCATCCACCCAACCAACATTACGACTCCGCCGTGTTCCAGGGACGGTTCCAGGTGCGGGGGGTTCAGCAGCAGGGGGAAGAGAGGCAGCCCCTCTGGGGGCCCTTACAGCTCGGGGGGATCGAGATAGCAAGGAGACGCTTGATCTGAATAAGAACCACAAGAAAAGCGAAGCCTGGAAGGGACGGGATGGTCACGGGAAACCTCAGGAGAAGGTGACCTTTGAGCAAGGACCTGGAGTGGGTGAAGGAGGAGCCACCTGGTCAGGGGTGGTGAAGGCTTTGGCCTCTGGAGGAGCAGGTGCAAGAGTCCTGGGGTGAGCAAGGGTCTAATGAGGCAGCGAGGCCCATGTGGCGGGGAGGAGAGGAGGGAGCATGGTGGGCTTGTCACAACAACAGGGCTTTGGCTTTTGACTTCTGAGCAGCCGGGGAGTCTCCGGTGGTCTCAAGCAGGGGGGGAACCTCTCTGGCCCTGGGTGAGGAACGGGGAGAGGGGTCACCGCAGGGAGCTGAGGGTCTTCAGCCAGGGCTGCGACTTGGCAACAGGTAGGGAGAAGGCCGTGGCCAGGGCTGCCCAGGGGGAGCTGGAGTGTGGTAGAGGAAGCTGGGAGGCCAGGCAGACCCCGGACTTTTGTCCTGGGCACCTGGGACGAGGGAGCTGGCGTCAGGTGACACTGGGAACCTGCCCAAGGAGCAGGTGTGCCAGGGGAGGGAGGTGGCTGAGCGTGACGTCATCGTGAGCCCAGGCTGTGCACTGGTGCCAACCTGCCACCAACAGACCCGCACGGGCATGCTCCCCGCCAGGCTGGCAGGTGAGAGCAAAGACCCGCCCAGCCTGGGGGTCCAGGTGGCGTCCAGCTGAAGCTGGACCCCTCGGGACTGGGAAGGGCTGCCACTAGGGTCCCCCATCTGATTCTCCCACTGCTCCTCGGATGCCAGGGGCCGCTGATTTCTGGTGCAGTTCCTGGCGAGGTGGCTGAGCCCCCTGAGACAAATGACGCGGTGGCTCTGAGCCGTGTCCTGGCCCAGCGGAGCTCCCCCTTGTGGAGTGAAGGGTCCCCCAACACAGGAGTTAGTTTTTCCCTGTGGAGGCTCAATGACGCATGTGCCCCCAATACCGTCTATGACCTCTGGGGCTCCAGGACCCCCGGAGCCTGGGCGTGCTGGGCCAGCAGGCTCCCACCCTCGCCCTCCTCACCTGGAGGGCCCTTCTCTCCGGCCACCACGCCTTAGGTCCAGGCTCCGAGGTGGCCGCCCCCGGTCCGTCTCTGGCTTTGGATCTAAGTCTTGATCTTGCAAGAGACCCCGCTGCCTTTGAAGAGAATCTTCAGGTAGACAAGGACCCAGGTGACAGGCCAGCAGGAGGCCGCGCCTTGTGTTTTCTCTCGGGGTTCCTTAAATCAACAGCCTTTCACTCGGGGGCTGGGTGGGCTGGGTACAGGAGGAAAAGTCAGCCCCATGGGGTTGGGCAGGGGATGCTGGTCCCTGGGCAGGAGAAGGGGATTCACTGACTTACAATCTCAGGTCTGGCCACAGGTCACTACCTGTCGGAGCTCTGCCCCAGGCCAGGGCAGACATAGTTCTCTGTATTCCCAGCAGGACCTTCTCTACAAGCTGTGAACTCCCCAAAGCCAGGCGCTGTGTCTTAAATATCTCTCCCCCAGCATTCAGCACAAGACTCGGCACCTAACTGGAAATCCTGTGGCGCAGCTTCAGGCATGGCTGGATCCGGGTGGATAAGCCACGTCTTCAAGATCCTTTTGTCTGTCTGCCCTTCTCAGCTGTGTTTTCTGCTCAGCTGCCTTCATTCTCAGGCAGATTCTCCTGACAGTGTTGGCCTCGGGTGGCTTTGGGCTGACATTCTCAGGCTCCACAATCCTGGAGTAAAGAAGCTCTTCTCTCTGCACAGCTGTTGCAAGTGTTGTGATGAATTCTCATTGGACAAGCTTGGGTCACGTGCCCATCCCTGAATCAGTCCCGTGGCCAGGGACATGAGACGTTCTCATCCAGTTCCTGGGGCTCAGGATTGGGGGTTGGGGTTTGG